GGAAAACCTGTGGCAACCCTGTATTAGCGCATGTTTTTAAAAAGCTACTTGTAAAAAAGTGCAGTCAGAAATAAAAAATAAAAAAATTTAAAGATTATCAGAATTAACAAAAGATAAGCTTTTATAAAGCTTTTCAGTAAAACCCCTACTTCTCAGAAATCTCATTTTCGACATAATATTTTTAATCAAGCTGAACGTAAAAGATTTCTCCTCTGAGGGCGAAGAAACCTCTCTCTCTCTCTCTCTCTCTCTCTCTCTCTCTCTCTCTCTCTCTCATCGAGTGAAATCTTGATTCTTGCGCCCGCTCTGCTGCTGTGGTTCTCGATAAACATCGTTGAATGAAAACTCGTTAAAACCAATCTATACCGATCGATTTAACAATTTGCATTTCCCACTCTAGAAATAAGGTAAGGTGATCTTCACCTATCGTGTTTGCCGAAGGAAAGGACTCTCGGCATTAATACTTTTAATCATTAAGCAAGCACAAAACATCAATCTAATTAAAAACTTGCACACTTTCATTTTGCAAGAGAGATTTTATAACTGAATAAGTGGAAATGAAAATTTTATAAATAAAATCTCTTCATTAAATATGAATATAGTGTATAGCCACACGTCAAAAACTTCCATGGAAGTACCCCCTGGAAATTTCATGGAATTTCCGTGGAGATTCTGTGCAAATTCTGCAAGTAAATTATATATTTTAATGTTATTTTAACATTTTTATTATGATTACAGTCTAATAATAAGCTTTCTTAAACTTTTTCTTTTAATATTCAATTATTATCTAAAATTTTAATTGAAATTCATTTTTAAATCAATTATTATTAGAAAATTCTACGAGAATTCAATTATTTAAATACAAATAAAATGCAAATAAATAATTTATTGAATAAATGAATGTTTTTCAAAATTGAATCTTCATAAAGAATTTTATCAACAAATTTTTAAATAATTGAATTCTTTCGACAAAGTTTAATAAAATTTTTGAAATTTTAACATTTTTTATCATTTTTCGAGAAATTTGATTAAAATTGTATTAATTGAAATTCTGCAATAAGTTTTATTACTTATGAAAATAATTGAATCCCTGTAAAAAATTGTACTATTTATAAAAATAATTAAATTATTGCTAAGAAATTTATAAAAAAAAAATTGTAAATAATTGAATATCCGTGAAATTTTTATTACTTGTGAAAATAATTAAATACTTGCGTAGAATTTAATTAAAATTTTTTTTAAATAATTGAATTCTTTTGGAAAATTTTATTGAGGGCATATGAGCATTAAAACTGTAATTACATATTAAAATTGTAAATATTAAAAATCATTTAATTGAATAAAACTTTTGGAAATAATTGAAATTTTGCCAAAGATTTTTATTAAAAGTTTTAAAAATAATTGAATTTCGGAGAATGCCAATCCTGGAAATGTTAAAATATTTTTAAAATAAGAAACTTGCAGAATTTCCATGGATAAAATAATTGTTTTGAATGAATCTGCGTGCGATTGTTTCTAGCATTTTATAAAATTGGACTCTTTTGGGAAATTGGAAGACCATCAGGAATTCTGACTCTGAGGGAGAATTCTCGGTTTACTTGGAGAAACAAAGTTAGAGGGAAGATAAGAGTAGGTGGGAGATGAAGTAAGTGAGATGGAGAATTAACGGGAAAATGGAGAAAGTGAGTACAACCGAGAGACGCAACGTAGAGGAGTAGAGGATAGAGGAAGGGCAGATAATTAGACAAGTAACACAGACACCCCTTTGCCTCTCTTCCTGAGTGCGACCCCATATCCTCCTTAATTAAATATAAGCACCAGCTTACCTCTGCTTCTCAACCGGCGCGGCACTATGGCAAAGATGTACACACCCTTCGCTGCTTGCATAAATTCTTGACACACACCTACGCTACCAAACTCAAGATTTCCATCTATTGCCACGCAATTACAGCCCTTCTAAAACGATACCACGGGTGTTTAATCCATAATGTAGGATTTTAGCCATCTTAAGGGGGTACAACCACAATGGGGGTGAAAAAAACTTCCAACTTTTTCTTTTTGCTCAAATAATTCAAACATTCAGAAGTAGACTTTTGTCTGACTAAATCTTATCTTTACTACTTTATTAAAATTTTTTTTTTTCTTTTACCGAAAACCCCAAGAATCCTTTTCTCTCCATCTCCTCGCGACAGAATCGATTAAAATTTAATTGCCGTTAAATATTCAAAACTAAAATTCTAAAACTAATGTAAACTAAAGTTTAAATTTAAATTAAATGAATTACACCAGGGTTGTCACAAAAACTTAATTTTCTTTCTCCTTGACTTTTGCCTGATTTCCAGACAAAATTTTGACTTTCTCCCTGACCCCTACATTGAGAAAACAATTTATTTGCATCAAACACAATTATCTTTTTTATACAGTCAACCAAAAAATTATTTTTGAATTAAACATAATAATTTTGATTCAACACATTATTATAAAATTCGATTCAATTAAAATTACTTTTAATTCAATTATAAAATATGTTTAATTCAAAACTTATTTCTTCGGTTTGCATATTTATTTTTGAATTAAAAAAAAAAAGTTTTTCTCAGTGTATAGAATATTTAGGGCCAATTTTACAAATACCGATTAAAAGTTAATCATTGATTAAATCCTCAATTAATCAATAATGGGCCGTTAAAATGGCTTTATTTGGAAAATTTTATTAAGGGCATGGTGAACATTAAAATTGTAATTACATATATGAAAATTGTAAATATTAAAAATCAGTGAATTGTAGAAAATTTTTTAAATTAATTGAAATTTTGCCAAGGATTTTATTCAAAGTTTTAAAAGTTTTTTGAATTTAATTTCGGAGAAGAATTTTATTAATTATACTTAAAAATAATTGAAATTTTTCACGAGAATTTTTGAAAATTTGGAAAATAATTGAATTTTTATTACTTTTGAAAATAATTTAATTCTTCTAATTGAATACTATTATTTATAAAAATAATTAAATTTTGCAATGAATTTTATTAAAAATTCCTGGAAATAATTGAATTTTGCTATTCATTTATATAGAGATAATTGAAATCTAAGTTCTTTAAATTTTCTATAATTAAATTCATTCAAAAGTTGAAATTTTCTAAAATTTCAAATTGAAACCTTCTAAAGTTGATCCATTTATGAAAATTGTCAACGCAACTCTTTTAAAATTCAATTATAGTTTTGAAATATTTTGTAACTGAAATGAAAATAATTCATAGTTATTTTCCCGAGACATATGTCGAATAATGAAAGCGCGAGAGTCGTCAGAGGGGAATGATTAAATCATTCGATGAGAGATGTTTAAACTACTCGATATTTGAGATATTGAAGATATCCATTCCTACACCATCAAGAATGCTAACATTACTCACCATTAAATAGTATCTGATCGTTCCAGATTTCAAACATGAGATAACACAAACAACTGTCGGAAGATGGATGTGGTAATCCGAGAACTCTAGAGGTATTTTGGAGGTAGCAGAAGATATCCCTCATATATATATATATATATATATTTATAAAGTAAAGTGAATATGCCACTCGAGGAATATTTTACGAACCCTTAATGCAGACAGTTGATATGTTCTATATAATGTACCTATTATTAAATTTATCTTTAATACTGTTCGTAATTTATCATCAAACATTAAATGTAATTCAAGCATTTTAAAAATTCATCAATTTTCTTCTTAAAATCCAATACTTTTTTAAAAGGGAGTTTTTAAATAACAATTTATAAGGATATTGCTAAAATAATTTTTAGTTCAAATTATTAATTAGCTTTCCACAGTTTTTCTGCGGATATCAAATTGAGACAAAAAAAAAAAAAAGAAACAGAACGTTGCAACACTTTTGATTCGTTTTTTGTCACAATTTGATATCCGCAGAAAAAACTCTGTTAAAATGGAATTTCCTGTTAAATTATATATTTAAATTCAAGTAAAAAGATAAAGTACCTAAAATTAAAAGGAATTTATTTTCAAACTCATATTAATAATACCTATTAATTATTTTATTTCATAATAAAAAAAGGCTTAAATACGATTATTAGTTTTATCGTATTATTTTCAACAACAAAAAATTTTAAACGAATTTAATTATTTATAAAAACTTTAATAAAATTTTAATAGTAAAACTATTAATTACAATTATTAACAAATTCGATTATTATTTAATAAATTAAAGAAATTTTTTGAAAAAATTTAATTATTATAAAAAACCTTTAATCGTATCTATTTTTTGGAAGAATTTAATTATTTTCTATATTTTAATAAGATTCTGAGAAGAAATTTTTTCTAAAAAAATAAAAAAAAATAAATTTTTTTCTAAAATTTTTAATAAATTTTAATAATTAATTGTTTAATTTCAATTATTAAGAAACACAATTTTAATTTTATTAAAATCTTTGATATTGAAAATCATTGAAATTATAGAAAAATTTTTGAAAATAATTGAAATTATAACAAGAATTTTTTTGCCATTTTTATGAAAATTGAAAATAATTGAACTTTGGAGAAGAATTTTGTTATTTATAAAGATAATTAGGATTTTTATGAGAATTTTTTTCAAATTTTGAACATAGTTGAATTTTATTTATTTTTTTAAATAATTCAATTTCTGCAATTCTTTTCCGTAATTTCTCCAAAATTGAATTTTTTTAGTGTTTTCAAGAAAAATTTAAATTAGAAAATTTTTAAATTCTATTATTTTTAAAATTGCTAATTTTATTTGAGAAAAAGGTAGTAAGAAGTTAGCCAGCGAATTGTTGCTGGTATAATAACTTGTAATTATTAGAATTAATTTTTTTATTACAAAACAAAAACGAATCGTAATAAATGTCAAATGTAATTTGATCAAAATAAAAAACAATAAAAAATTTTAGTGATTGCTTCAGTAGAATCTGATGACTGTAAAAAAAAATATGTAACAAACCATATTTTTGAATAAACTAAATTAAAATTAAAATGTCGACAAAAAGCAGCAAAATGCCAAGGCAAAAATCAGCTTCATCAACAACTGCAAATACAACAGCTAGCCTTCAAGTTTCATTACCTCAAATGTTGGATCTTGCTTTAGGAACACCTGAAGTATACCTAATTAATTACAATTCCAATTAATTAATTTTATTAATTATTTTTATCGAAAATTACAAAGAGTTTCTTTAACTACGTTGTAAACTATGTTTTTCTAACTACGACCAAGCAAAAACTTGTGGAAATATTCATAAATATAACCTTGAATTGACATAAATTAAAATATGAATAAATATCTTATTCTTTAATAAAAAATGAAATTAAAAATGAAATATAAATTTAAATTGACATTTAGGTGATTTTCACTACTAGGTAGGAGCTGTAAACTTTAATATTCTTCACAATTTTCTTCACGTTGTGTTGCATCAGATTAATTTAAGAACCACGAAAGTAGAGTACAGAGGTGAAGATGCAAAACGAATTAAGGCAAGTGGGCAAATAAAAAAAAAATAAATAAAAAAAATTATATAAAAATAATAAAGTAAATAAAAATAATTTAACAGACAATGGTTACCTCCCTAAAAGATGGACCCAGTCTACATTTACACGAATATAGTATTACTGACAATTCCGGTAAAGTAAAACAACGAATACATAGCGATCAGAATTTAACCGTAAATGTCGATATCTACACTGATGGTAAAGAAATAATACTTTTAAATTAAATTAAATTAAATTAATTTAGAATATAAAAAATTATAATAAAACTCTTTAAAACGATTTAATTATTTTCACAAATTTTTCGTACTTCAACAATTTTTAATATTTACTATTATAATAAAACTTTTTTAAAAAGAATTCAATAACTAAAAAAAAATGTTTATGTTCTTCGCAAACATTCAATTATTTTCATATAAATAAAAAAATTTTCACATGAATTCAATTATTCAAAACAGAATTTTCCTAATATTTTTCGAAAAAAAATCAATTACATATTCCAATAGATTTTTATAAAATTTTTCCCAAGAATTCAATTATTTTTATAAATATAATAAAATTTTTCTCGGAAATTCAATTATTTTTAAAAATTTTGAATAACAATCGTTGAAAGAATTCAATTATTTTTAATACGATTTTAAATGAATTGCGCGAAAAAAGCGCAAATATGTTAAAAAATTTCAATAAAATTCTTTGAAGGAATTCAATTATTTTTAAAAATTTTAATAAAATTCTTTATAATAATTAATTTGTTTTCAATAGAATTTTAATAAAACTTTTTGAAAGAACTCAATTATTTTCATAAATAATGTAGGTACAATTTTCAAAGAAATTCAATGTATTTAAAACACAACTTTCATAACATTTTTTGTAAAAAATTTTTTCTTTAAAAAGATAATTGAATTCCTATGAAATTTTTATTATTTATGAAAATAAAGAAATGTTTACCTACAATTTTATCGAAATTTTTTTTTTTAAATAATTTATTTCTTTTGGAAAATTTGATTAAAATTTATTGTAGATGTTAAAAATCACTGATTTGATAGAAATTTTTGAAAATAATTGAAATTTTGCCAAGAGTTGAATTAAATTTTTTGAAAATATCTAATTGAATTTCGAAGAAGAATTGTACATTATTATTTATAAAGAGAATTGAAATTTTGACAAGTATTTTGTAAAATTTTTTGAAAAAAAAATTTCTTTAAAAAGATTTTTTTTTATTTCTTCTCAAGAATGCAAATATTTTAAAAACTTAATTAAAGTTCGACGACAAAAATTCAATTATTTTCATAAATTTCAATTATTTTGAAGGATTTCACTTATTTTTAATATAATTTTAAATTAATTCCGCTAAAACGAAATTATTTTTAAAAAATTGATATAATTTTTTTCATAGAGTGTAATAATTATTTTTCCATTTTTAATTACATTTCTTGAATGAATTTAATTATTATCAAAAATTTGAATTCAATTTTTCCTAAAAATTCAATTATTTTAAAAAATGTTGATTTATAAGAATTCAAATTTAAGAAACATTCACAATTAAAGTTTTGAATAATTTTATTTATAGATTTCAACAAAAAAAAAAATGATTGAATTTTGAAAAAATTACTTTTGTAATTTTTAGAAATAATTTCAAAAATGCGTAACATTGAAATCATTGGAAATATGTTCATTTCCGTAGACAAAATAAATCTCGTATTTAAATATTTATTTCTCGAAAAAATTATTCCATTTTTGAATGTAATTACGAAATTATAAAAAATAGAGTCAAGTTTACTTTTTCGTAAGCTACTTTTTGCTACTATTTTAAAATTAATTATCGAGTCTAAAGCCTGAAACAATTATAATTTATGAAAATTATAATTATTAGCAGCTGATCCAAGTGGAAAAGTTTCAAGACGTTCTGTAAGTGCTAGAGAAACCAGATCCAAAGATGGTTAGTTTCAAAATTTTTCCATGAGAGTAAATAAACATTTATTGTTAATATTATTACGTAAAAATTATTTTTAGCAACAGATATTGAAGTAAATAGGAAAAAAGTAAAAGGTGTCAAGCAACAGATAACTGGAGGAGTGGAGGGAGAATTAGAGTCTGTAATTTTTGTAGAATCAGTGGTGGATGGTGGCACTCCAACTGCACTGAATTTTAACAAACTGGAAAATTCCGTAAATTCCATTCTTTATACATCATTGATATTTATCCTCTTCACCTTTGATTTCGTTTATTCAACATTTGTTGAACTTTGATTTTCGTTTTAAACTCTTTCTATTATTTATATTTATTTATTATTTATTTTATTATTAAATAAATTTAATGTACATAAATAAATGAATAAATAAATATAATTAACAAATATATTTTTCATTAAGGTACAAAAATTGCAGCAACAGTTTCAAGTTCTCGAAGAATTGGCAACAAATTCAGAAATAATAAATAAAGTCAAAGGAAACTCAGTGGATCCTCTCAAAGATATTTGGCAATTTATTAACATCAACAAGAGATTAGATGCCAGTGAACAGGGAATTAGTAAAGTTTGTATATCATTATAAATAAATAAAATATTTTTTACAAAAAACAATTTTTTCCATTTTTGAAAAATTGTTTCAGTTAACATCAATGCTGCAAGATATCATCAAAGGTGATAAAGTTGCATCAGAAAATGGAGCTGATCTAAAAACACAATTGACCGAAATCGATGATAGATTGTCAAGTCTAGAACGTCTACTGGAGGAAAAAAATTCAGAAAAAAAATCTACTGATAGGCAATCTTACTCCAAAGAATCGGAAAAATTAACAGATAAATCTGAGAAAACAGAATTAGATACTACTGTGGAAACTGTTGTTGAAAATTTAAACGAAAATAACCCATGTATTACCATAAAATTTAGTAATTAGTACCTAAATAGAAATAAAAAATTTTTATTTACACTTTCCATTAACTCTTCTTACAGATAATCAAATTCTGGCTAACGTCAATAATCTGAAAAATGATCTGAATCAGGTGCGAAACGACATTGCGGAATTACAATCTAAATTCACGGATTCAAAACGTAAAATGATTTTTGTTTTCTAAAACAATATCTTAAGATAAAATCAGGGCAGATGTAGAATAATAACTCGCATTTATATTTAGCAAATCCCAAAGCAGATGGAGAAACAGAACCCACAACTCAAAAAATCATTGGAAGTGAAAATAAAAATCAAAGTAATAGTTCAATTGTACGTGGAGAAGAAAACAATGATTCTAAATCGAGGGAAAAACATGAAGAAGAAACACTTGAGAAACAGAAACCGGAAGAGAGAGAAAAAAGTGAAAATTCAACATCCAAAATTGCTGATGAAGAAGGAGCTCCAAATCCCGAAAATTTGGACTTACGTCTGAAAAATGTAGAAAATGATTATGATACTGCTTTAAAGGAACTAAATAAAAGAATCGAAAACATTGAGAAGAGTACAGGAAATAATTTAATAAATGATGTCAATACTGATACAGAAACAAAAATTAATGAACTTGACACTAAAATTAAGAAACTCGAAGAAGAAATAAAAAAATTAATTCAGACAGACAAAGCTCAGGAAGATGGAGAAAATTCCATCAGTACAAACGTAAATAAATAGAATTGTATTTTTCGATTAAAATTAGGGGAATGTAGTCAAGGTTGGCCTACTGTCTAGGTAGGCCACTCGCGTTTTTTTGTCAAGTTCACTAGCGCCACCTACGCGCATTTTTGTCGAAGCTTGTCTTAGTGAAACCTAACTTTTTGTTCAATTACATTTTCGGAAAATCGAAAATTGTGTTTTCTGTGACGTCGGTACAAAAAAAGCTCAAAAAAAGTTTTGTGCATAATGTGAAAAACCATTAATAAAAGATAAAAAACAAATTGAATCGTCAAGGCAAGTATGCAGAAAATTTGTGGGACTCATGGTTGAAAGGAAAACAAAGTAAAAAATCGAATCCCGAAACGTATTTCTTTATGGTTACAACAATTCGGTAATGTTACTTACTGTCAAGGTCGGCCACTATGTGTTTAAAATGCGCAAAGTTGAGGACGAGCTACTTCATTTGCAAAAACTGCAATTCTGTATAACTCATAATATAATTGATCATCTTATTAATATTTTTATTTAATTTTATTAATATTTTAGTGCAAAACTTTTTTTTATTTATATTTATTTTTTTATATTGTTTATTGTTATTATTTTGTTATTTCATTAAGTTACAAACTGTAAACAATAAAGAATCAATTTTCCGTAACTCCAAACATGTTATTTTATTTTTTAACGATTAATGCCCTTTGAATTTTAAACATGGCCGACCTTGACTGTAATGGCCAACCTGGACTACAAATTTTTTTTTTTTTAAATCTTTATAACTTTTTCATTTTTAAACCTGTCAATTTACTTTGTACAGAAAAAATGTTCCTATTAAACAGGACTTTCCAACCATATACTTCAATTGTCCAAATTCATTTTTAAAAAAAAGTTATAAACAAAAGTCAAAAAGGTGGCCGACCTAGACTATGTTCCCCTACATATTAACAATTTTCTAACATTTATAATATTTCAGGCATTACAAGAGCAAATCGAAGTTCTAAAAACTATAAAAGTTGATAAGGAACATTTCCAGGATGCTTTAGCAAATAAAACCGTAACACGTGATGACCTCACACGTGGACTCGAAGAAGCTCTTGACAAACTGAATCAACAGGAATCAATATGGCAACGGGCATTAGATGAAATACAAAAGGAGATCGAGTGCAAACTTGATAAAGAAGAAATTTCCCCTTTCAAAGAATCAGTTGATGATAAATTTCAACGACTACAGGAAAAAATGAAAACACTTCTCGAAATGAAAGAACCAAATGAAGCAGCAGCAACTAGAAAGATGCTTAGGTTTCTATTATAACTACTCTCGTCATCACTGATTTACATTAATGATCAAATCTCTAATTATTTAAAGAAGAAATATTTTTCCAATCGTATCTCATAATTGGAAAGATTCGGAAAGATTCGAAACACTTCTTAAAATATTTAGAGATTTCATTTCAGTTTTCACTTTTTTCTATATATTATATATTTTATAATTATTTCAGAGATGTGCAATGCTTATCATGTGACAAGGATGTTGTAATGAGAATGCATGACAATAATCCAATGTACGCTAATGCATTCTCATCAATTAAAAAAATGCAACTTAGAGCAACACAACCGAAAAAATTGTCACCGCAAAGAAAAGATATGCTTTATTTAGAAGCTGCACTAAAAGAAGAAAGAAATTCAAAATTTAAGAATTCTTCTTTACCGAGAAATGCAAAGTAAGAACAATAGGGTTGCCACAGGTCAGGGAATTCAGGGAAAAGTCAGGGAAAGTACAATTGATCAGGGAAAAGTCAAGGATTTTTAATTTAAAAGTACTGGAAAAAATTAAATGTTTCAATTTATAAAAAAAATTCTCAATTTTTGTGTCTTTTTTGTTTGACTCATAAACTATGAAATCACAACGAATTCTAAAAAAAAACTTTCACTTTTTTCTCTTTATGACAACAATTTATTTTAAAAAACTAAATTCTATTGAAGAACTGCCATAAAGTTATTACTTATAAATCATTTAATTCTTCCTCAAAATTCAATAATTATATTCAGGCATTTTAATAAAATTCATTGCAAAATTCAATTATTCTCAAAATTAATAAAATTCAATTATTTTCAAAAATTTTTTATAAAATTCATGGCAAAAATTCAATTATTTTCAAAAATTTTTCTTAATTCAATGATTTTATTAAAATTTGTCAAAAGAATTCAATCATTTAAAAATTTGTTGATAAAATTCTTTAGGAGAATTAAATTTTAAGAAACATTCAATTATTCAATAAATTATTTATTTTGATATTTAAAAAATTAAATTCTCATTGAATTTTCAATTACTTTCAAAATTTCTTCACAATAATTCAATTATTTTCATAAATAATAAAATTCATCGCAGAATTTCAATTATTTTTAATTCAATTTTAATTGAATTCCTCGAAAATTGCAATTACTTTTGAAGAATTTTAATTTCCAAAAAGTGGATGAAATCAGAATTTTTGATTCAAACTTTTGTATTTTATTTTGATCCAATTTGGTATCAATTTGATACTTTTAAGAAAACTGTGAATACGTTTTTTTAGTTTTAGTAATCGATATTGCGGAGGAAGTCACACAATTATATCGCCACAGCAGAAAATAATGAGAAATGGCAATTTTCTAAATCAATGGGGCTCTCAAGTTTTTGAACATCCAGCTGGTGTCATTAAGGGATCTGATGGAAAAACATATTACAGTCGACCAATGATTAATGGAAATAATAATAAAACTGAGCAGAAAATTTGCGAGCCATGTGATAATAAATGCTACTCTAAACAACCATCAAAAGTAATTTAACATTTTTATTTTTTTAATTTAAATTTAATTTAATTAAATTTAATTTTAAAAAATCAACATTTTATTTATAAGATTTCTGTCTTATTATTATTACCATTATTATTAATTATTATTATTATTTTAAATAGGAAAATATCATTTCTCAGCCTAATCAACAAAATATTTCGAAAAATGGAAGCTACGTATCTGGTACAAAATTATTTTTATTATGTCCCTAAGTTTATTAGATCGACGCTAAGCGCCAAAAAGTTTCCACCTTCCACAGACTTAGAAAAATTAAACAATTTTTTTAATGATTTCAAATAAATTATAAACATAATTTTAGATAAATAATAAAAACTTTCAGAACTATTTGAAAAAAATAAAATTTAATACAAAAATGAAACACTAAAAAACCAGTTTTCGACGCTTAGCGACGATACAAAATTAACATTTCTTCAAAATTTTATCAAAATTATTAAAATTATCTACTTGAGAATATCAGGGTTGCCACAGATCAGGAAAGTCAGGGAAAGTAGAATTGGTCAGAAAAATCAGGGAAAAGTCAGGGATTTTTATTAAAAATACTGGAAAAAATTAAATTTTTAGAATTTATAAGAAAATTCTGAATTTTTGTGTCTTTTTTTCATAAAGTTTAATTGAATTTTTATTGAAATTATTCGGAGTTTTTATTTTTTATTAATATTTCATAGAAGAATTTCTAAATAATTGAAATTTCACGTAAAATTGAATTGTAAACAAATAGATTTGGAAATTCTCAAAGAACTTTTTCAAAAATTATTAAAAATAATGGATTTCATAGAAGAATTTTAGTTAAAAACACGAAAAAAATGTAATTTTGGAAAAGTAACAAATTATTGCAAAAATTCAATAATTTTCAAGAGTAATAATATTCTTTGGAAAAATTAAATATTGTTCAAAAACATTTAATAAAATTGGATGCAAGGATTCATTTATTTTCATAATTATAATAACGCATTCTTCGGAAGAATTTAATTATTTTTATGGTAAACAGTAAAACTTTTTTCAAAAATTATTTATTCACGAAATAAATCAATTATTTTCTAGAAATTTAATAAATCCTTGAAAACAATTCAATTATATTTTAAAATAGTCAAATCTTTGCAAAAATCCAATTATTTTCAATAAAATTTCAGGGAAGAATTCAATTTTTTTCTTAATTCGTTATAAAATTTTTCAATAGAATTCAATTATTTGTAATACAATTTTAATCAAATTCCTCGAAAAATGTAATTATTCTGAAAAATTTGATTAAGATTCGTTGAAAGAATTCAATTATTTAAAAATTTGTTGATAAAAAATTCCTTTATGGGAATTGAATTTTAAGAAACATTCAATTATTCAATAAATTTTTTTATTTTATTTAAGTAGTAAACGGGACTGTGCCCTTTCGTACAAAGTACTCTTAATACTTAATTATTTGTATTTAAATAATTGAATTTTTAAAAATAATTGAATTTTGAAAATGTTTCAAATTAAAAGTCTTTAAAAATCTGAATTTTTCATACTTTTTACTAAAAATTCTGTAGAATTAATTTTTTTCAAAAAGTTTAATTGAATTTTTATTGAAATTATTTGGAGTTTTTATTTTCTATTGTATATTTAATTTAAAAAATGTCGAATGACTGTAATTCCAAAATTGGATTGTAAACAACTTAATTTAATTTAAATTCTTTAATTTAATTTAATTTAAAGAAGAATATTAGTTAAAAATTGTAGAAAATAATAATTGAATTGAAACGATAAAAATAATTTTGAAGAAAAATCGTGAAAACATGTTATATAGATAGATAGATATTTATTTAAAAATGAAGTTATTGATGTTTTCGAATAATTTTACAATTAACGAAATTCGTAAATAAATGTAATGTAGAACATTTTTTTTTTTTGAGTATCTAATAATTTTTAAAGTGAATCAGACTATTTTTTAGGTTCAGAGAAAAGGTAAAAAAATTTTCTGGAAATCAGGGAAAAGTTAGGGAAAAACAAAGTTAAATTTTTGTAGCAACCCTGAATATATTAAAGTTAGTTTAAAAAATAGTAAATAAATTTTCAGAATTTGAAGAAAAACCGGAAGATAAAGCATTTGTGGACTCACATGAAAATTTTTATGAACATTCAAACTATGAAGACGAGGTAAAAAGGAATCATAATCTTTTACATAAAAAAAATATATGTATTACTTTTATGACCTTCATTTATTTAAATGAATAATTTTCGAAAACCTTATTGGGTTTTATATTACCTATATTTTATATTATTATTATATTTTAATATTAATTTTAATATTAAAATTAGAAAAGAAATTAAAGATATTCCAGAATAAATAGAAAATTAATTTTACAAAACATATTTTATTTTCATATATAGATGACGTTAATTAAAGATCCACCACCTCCACCATCTTCTCCATTACAAGAAAAATTATCAGAAAACGAGCAGCAAGAAGATATAAACGAGGAACAATTGCGAAATTCAAGAACAAATAACGAAGAATCAAAATCCATGGAAAAAATTACTTTTCAGGAGGATAACTACTTTGATGAAGATGAAGATGAAAATGAAAATTAACATGTAGCACAACTTTGTCAATTTTTATTAAATTATTCAAAAAAAAAATTATTGTTTTAACTTGGAAATGTTAACAAATTCAATTAATTAACTAATTTTAATTACGATATCGATCATTATATTATTAATGAATTATTTATTTTAGTGAGAAAATGCGACAAGGCGAAATTTTATAATATCAAGAAATAAAATTTTGAAAACTGAAACATATATAATATATTTGACTATTTATGAATATTCTCTTTACACAGTTAGAAATAAAATTTACTGCGTAAAAAATAATTTTATTGTAAGCAATATGTACATTCCCACCTGTATTACTCCCCACTTCATATGTGTCTTGAAATTTTAAACTTGTCACTCGAATTCTTCACTTCAACTGTACAGGTTCTTTTTTTAAACAAAAAAATAATCACATACAGAAGTTTAAAAATTCTATAAAGAGTTTTAAGTTTTATTAAATCAGAAAATAATATTTTGATCAGTCGCTTACCTCAAGTGCTTTGCAGCAGTGTCCAGAACTCTTCAAACATCCTAGGGTCTGAAAGAAGAAAAAAAAAGGTAAGATTTATTTGAATATCAAATAAAAAAATTTGTATTAATTTTTAATTATTATAATTAGCTGGTAAATAAACTTCGCACGTTACTAAGTTATACTTTTACTTTTTAGTTAGTTTCTTAATAAATCAATTTTTTTCTCTGAGTAAACTTATAATTTTATTATAAACCATATTTTTATCATAAGCCACATTTGAACAAGAAAACTAACCAATTAATTAATTTATTTATTTATTATTATTAATTTATTAATTATTTTTCGAGTGTGAAATATATGTTTATTAACCTAATAATTATTTATAATAATTGTAACCTAATAATAATAATCTTGTCGGGGTGACAAGTTCATAAAAATGAATAACTGAAAAGATAAATTAGAAATATAAGGAAGAAAATTTGAGTTGAATTCAAAAAAAATTTCAATTCAATTATAATTTTCAAAAAAATTTTTAACTAAAATTCATTTATTTACATTTATTTGCGAATTTCTTTAATTGCAAATTTATTCGAAAACATTAACTACTTCTTTTTTACATTAATATTAAATTACTAGGGGAGAGTTGTCAGGGTTGGGCAGTGTTTAGGGTTGAGCCACCGCGTTTATTTCGTTTTATCGCACTAGCGCCATCTATCTTTTTACGAAAATTCTTGCTACTAATGTCAGCCATCTTCTCATATGAGTCGCAGTTAAATATACGAACCTATACTTGACTATCGTACCTATACCACTTTGTGATATAGGCTCAGCAAAAACTTTTTTGTGGTGTCAAAAAAAGAGAACTAAATGTAGAAGAAATGTGCCAAAAGCAAAAGAAGTTTACAGAAATTGTTCATTAAGATGATATGTGAAAATCTGTAAAATATTTTGGTGTTTGTGTCACGCGTTTGTGTTCTGTGCCCCTAGGACGCAAAACGACGCGTGAGTCAGAGTTGGGCCATGAGGGAAATTTTGCAATTACAAAGCGTACTTGCAACAGAAATTCATTTTTTCACTTAAATAGGTGTTAAAAACTCCATTTTCACTGGAAAGAGAGAAAAAAATTTTTTTTGATAACCTTTTTTCATTTTTTCAATTTCTCAATTTTGGATTTCGTTCATGAGGAATAAATTATCTAAAGTTATATGAAAATGCATAATATGGGATTTTATTTTAATTTAATGGTTCCTTTCCTCATTCCCAAGTGTCATTCTATCATTTGAAGGTCATTTTTAATCATTTACCTAAATATTTCATTGATTTTCTACAGTGTCCCAACTCTGGCAACATTTTTTTTTTTTAAATTGCTTATAACTCTGAAACTTTTGGTCCGATTTTTTTACAATGTTAAGGAAAAACATTGCATTTGAGTTGATCTTTCCAAAAATATTCGCAAAATCGCGAAATTCGTTCTACAGGGGAAGTTATGAAGAAAAGTCAAAACTATGCCCAACTCTAACAACTCTCCCCTATTTCTTGAAATAAAATATTTTCAAGATTTTTTGAAAATGTTCTTTGAGAATTTTCAAATTTTTATTTTACAATTCAATTTTACGAAATTTCGATTATTCGGAAATTCTTCAATTAAATATATTTTAGAAAATAAGACCATTAAATACCTAGTTTCAAAAGAAAATTGGAATTAAAATTTTTCAAATAAATAAATTCTATACAGATTTGTTCGTTAAAGGTACGAAAAATTCCAATTTTCAAGGATTTTAATTTGAAACCTTCTCAAAATTTAATTATTTCTTAAAATTCACGCTATAATGCTTTTAATATTCAGTCATCTAAAATTTTAAATTGAAGTTCATTTTTAAATTAATTTTTATTAGAAATTGAATGTTTCTTAAAATTGAATTCTCATTATAAAATCATAAATTTTTTAAATAATTGAATTGAATATTTTACGCGAATTCAATTATTTAATTAAACAAAAAATAAATAATTTATTGAATAATTTAATGTTTCTTAAAATTTACTTCTCATCGAGCTTCTCATAAAGAATTTTTATCAACAAATTTTTAAATAATTAAATTTTTTCGAGGAATTTTAATTAAATTTTTGAGAATAATTACATTTTTCGAGGAATTCGATTAAAATTTTATTAAAAATAATTGAAAACCTGCGATGAGTTTTCTGAAAAAAATAAACAGATATATTATTTTAGCCAATTTGTGTATTAAAAAATTTGATAAGAATGTAAAATTTCTTTTTTTTTGATAAAATTTTATTTATTTTATTATCAACGAATGTATAAAATGCTTTTTCACAAAGTTTCTATCAAGAACATAAAATATTTTTAAAGTTACTTCACACTTTTTTTTCTATAACTTTTTATATTTTTATTTAATTGCAAATTTTTATTTTTTCTCTATAATCTATTCAATATGCGTGGGTATTATTTGTTGGTTAAAAGTTTAAAAAAATAATATTGAAATATTACTTGAAAAATATTTACTAACATTTGAAATATTTTGCAAAATTTTATGTTTCATATTTTCAATGCATTTAAATATATTTAAAATTTTAGAATATTGACAAATTTTTACATATTTTATAATTTCAAGAAAGTAGTTCGCACTTTTTAAATTTATTAAAATAAAAAATAAATAACCCTAATAGCAATGCATATTTAATAAATAAAAAGAAAATGTTACTTAATTCACCACTAGGTAGTTTTTATTTCATTTTTATAAATAAAGAATTTATTTATTAAAAAGTATAAAATTGTTATTAATTTTTGTTAAATTCGTGAAATGTTTTTTGTCGTTATTACTATCATAATATTCTAAAAGATAATTTCACAGAATAATACTATCTTCCTTTGTAGATAAAAAAAAACTTAATATTTTTAAAACTAAAAATAATTTCTTTTTAATCTTGTTGATTTAACTGCAACTTTTCCATTAGTTCACTGTACATATTATTCAAGGTCTTTTTAATAAGAAATTTTATAAAATTCACAGAAATGAAGATTACTTCTTTTTCGAAGTAAAAAAAAATATATAAATTAAAAAAAAATTTTACGGACTTTAGTTCGTGAAATTTTTTGTCCATACCAATCAGTAACTTCTGGCAATCTCTAATTAATTACTGATTAGTATATGATAAATATTTTATTGACAAAAATTTCCAAAAAGTGTACGCAAAAAAAATACTGGAAAATTTTATAAAAAGCGTTAAAAAGGGCAAAGAAATAAGAGCAACTTTTTTTGTTAAATTACATTTTATTATTTGTGAAAAAATTAACCAAAATTCAATCATTTCCAAAGCATTTCAAGTAATAAACGTATTAAAAAATTTGATAACTTAAAATGTAACATTTTCTTTTATAATATTATTATAAAATTTTATATTTCAATAAAAACAAATATTCGAAATGCTTTTTTCACGAAATTGTTATCAAAACCAAAAAGATATTTGTACTAACTCACGATTTTTTTCAATAACTTTTTTATATTTTTATTTAATTGGAAATTTTTATTTTTTCTCTATTTTTTCAATAGGCCAGATTAGAAGTTTAAAAAAAACTGATAAATTTAAAAAAAATACATTTAAAAAATTTGAATTTATAATTTTCAGTATTTACTTTATAAATATTTTACAAAATTTTTTTTTCTTTTCAATACATTGAAAAATATATTCTAAATAATTTTTAAATATACAAAATAATCTTGAATTTTCTCCCAAAATTAATTTGATTTAATTTATTTACAAAATATTCTATTACTGTTAAAGTTCGAATCAAGTTAATCACAGTATTTCTTAACTTTTATAATTTAGCATTACAAAGTTTTTATTTTATTTTTGTTAATAAAAAATTTTTTTAATAAAAAATATAAAATTATTATTAATTTTTGTTAAATTCGTGAAATGTTTTTAGTCGTTTATATCATCATTTCAAAAGATATCCTTTGAAGATAAAAAAAAATTTAATATTTGAAAAAAAAAAATTTTTTAAACTTATAAATTATTTCTTTTTAATATTGTCGATTTATCTGCAACTTTTTCTACTGGTTCACTGTACATAATATTCAAGGTCTTTTTGAATAAAAAAATTGTATAAAATTACAAAATTTATTTTAAGCGGTTTATATTGCCAGCAAAGTTTCATTGGCAAATAAAAAAGAATAAAGTGTTAAAGATTATTTCTGTTTTTCAAACGCAGTTAAAAAATAATTTGCACCTACTTTTTTTTTATTAAAATTATACAATTGTTAGTTAAACTATAAAAGGGAAACAATAAATAAAATAAGACTAATAAAAAAGAATAATGTATATTAAAAAAAAATTCTATTATATTTTACAATTAAATTACTTTTATAAATTTTTATGGTAAATTTGTTTATAAATTTTATATATTTAATTAAATACCGTACATTTTTTTTTTAAAAACAATTTAGCAATATTAACTTTGCTTCATTCTTGAAAGTTTTCATAAGATTTTCAATTATAAAAATATTTGAAAAAAATTTATGAAAATTAATTTCATTTTATTTGTTTTAAAAAATGTAATTAAAACAATTTTGGAAATAATTTATACAATTTTTTAAATTGCGAACTAGAATTATTTGAAAATATTAAAAATTTGATTTTTACGCGGTTTTGAATTTTTTTTTTAAATTCCAGGCCCAAAAATAAAATTGTTTTAATAAATTTTTAGCTACTTACGACAAAAAAAAATATAAAATCCTACAAGTAAATTATTAATGAAATAAGTTATTAATTTTTAATTTTATAAATAATTATACAATTTAATTAACAGTTTTGTTTAATTTTCTAAAACCAAATTTAATTTTAATTAATTCTTTTCGTTGCAATGAAGATGTTAATATAAATCCTGAAAGTTAATCCCCTTTGTGTAATTTCATTCAAAAAATTACAAACATAATCTACAATGACATTTATATTTGAAAGTAGACGAAAAGAGAAAAATTAAAAATTTTACTTTTGTTTAGAATTTTTCACAATTAAACGAGTATTTTAAACATTTTAATATATCTCGATTTCTATAATGTAACCAAAAATTATTTTTGAATGAAACACAATAATAATTTTGATTCAATACATAATATAAGTCCTGCGATGATTTTTATTATTTATGAAAATAATTGCATAGTTGCTAAGAATTTTATTAAAATTTTCAAAAATAATTGAATTCTTGCAAACGATTTTATTAGAATTTTTTAAAAAAATAATTGAATTTCCAAGAAGAAATTTATCTTGTGATAAATAATGTTATATATCGTCGCGAAAAAACGCCACGTAAATTACAACACTTATTCATGTTGTAAATTACATGTCATACTTTTTCGTAAGGGTAATAACGGTACAAATAAAATAAAAGTTATCTAACTTTCAGTTATTCTTTGTATTTTTCAGGAGTTAGCTCCCAAAAGTTGATTTTTAAATTGTTATTTTGGATAAAGATTATCACTTATCAAAAAAAAAATGATTTCAATAACAATCATCTGTATACTAATTTCACTGGCCAGTGGTAAAAATATCGATAGAATGTCATTAATGGATTTAACAAATTCTCTCTTGCAAATGGAGGAAACTATGAGAAAGCTAGACATATCTGAAGATTCGGCAATTTTCTTGGGCAACACTAAAGCTGGAAGAAGTACATTAATTAATTACATAATTGGCAATACATTGAAAGCTGAAAAAAAATCAAGATTTGATCCAGTAGTAATAGTAAAAGCAGACGAAAAATCCAAAGGACCGATTATTGGCGATGGACCAACCTCAGTCACTACAACCCCAACAAAATGGTATTCGAGAAATCTTCCCAATTTGGCCCTTTGGGATACTCCTGGATTTGAGGACAATAGAGGTTCAATACAGGACATCACTAATGCTTTCTCTATATTTACATTGGTGAAAAGTGTTAAATCATTAAAAATTATTCTAGTTATCGACATTAAGGACATTACGGAAGATAATACACAACAGTTTTTATCACTTTTAACTTCTATTGAAAATCTTTTTGGAAATAATTTTACCCATTTTTTTCCAAGTACAACAGTAATTTTTACTAAAGTGGCCAGAAATATTGGCGGTAATCCAATTGATTATGAATACGTCAACTATCACTTAGAAAGTCATTTTTTATCAGACACTAATTTAAGATGGTCCGAAATTGCAAAAAATTTCACACACTATCTAATAAAAAATACTAAACGTGTTGCCCTCTTCAGGAAAATGATGAAAACAGGTTACGTTACCAAGGATGAGGTTGATGTTGGAATTTTTGAGGCTATTAATAGTTCTACTAAAACAGAAGCGAACCTACTCCAGACGGTACGTCCGAGTATTTCACCTTCTTCAATGATTAGCCTGTACCAAAGTCAAGAAGAATTAGTGTTAGAGGAGGGAATTACAGAGATAGCTTCCATTCTGTCATTAAAGGCAAATAAAACGGAAGAAACTTTAAATTATTTGGAGAATAGAAGAGAATTAGAAAAAATTACAAAAGAATTACAACCAATCGAAATGGCTCTTGAAGAAACTTTGACGATTAAGAATGATTTGAGGAAAAAAATGAATTCTTTAATCAACAGTTATGACAATATTAAGGCAGGAATAGACCATACCAAATTGTTGAAAAATGCTCAACTTATAAAGTCTACTGAAGATAAATTATATGTAAACATAAGTAAACATTTAGAGTTTAGCATTGATGCTATTGCATTTTCCATGAAACTAAAAATGAGAACATTGAATTCCATTGCTACAATGAAATTAGACGGAAAAAATGACACTTCAAATGCAACAATCATTGTAACTCCAGAAGAAAGAAACATATGTTTAGAAATATTAACAGAATTCACGAAGGTGATAGATGAAGATAATGACAGTTTTCTGTATAAAATTAAAACATTTTTCTTTTCATTTTACTACGGCATTAAATTGACTATAAACTGTGGGAATTAAAAATCGTAAGATAAATGACATAACTCGGATATTGAACATCATTAATGATGATCCAAATGTATTTTCACAATTCGAAATATTTTTAAATTATACTATTTGTTATCATGTTCGAATTTGTGTAAATTAATAATAAAAAAAATTTATAAAAAGTACATTTTTTATTTATAAAAAATACCACAAAAATTTTTAATTGAAAATTTTTCATTAAGAAGTAGGAAATATACTCATTTTATGCATAATTTTTATTTCTCAATAACAATTCACAATTTTTCATAAGAAAATAATTTGCATCAATTCTATTTCTTAATTTCCATTGTTTTAATAAAATTCAAAGTTTTTAAAAAAATTAAGGAAAAAAATGTTTATGAATTTCTATTTGTCAATTAGAATATTTAAATGAAACTGGAAATTTTTGATTTTTTCGAAAAGAAAGGAAAAAATTTTATTAAAAAAAATGTTCTGTTAAAATTTACGAATATCTTTAATTGTAAAATTATTCGAAAACAATAATTTCTTTTTTAAATATTGTAAATATTTCATTATTATTTTATTTTTCCTCAGGAATTCAAATTCTTCAAAACATTCAAATTCAAACATAAAGAAATCTTTATGTTTTACAACATATATAATATTTATTTTAAGGAATCAAATTATAATTTTACTAAAATTTATTGTATTAAAGAATTTTATAACAATTTGTGAATATAATTCAAAACTTTTTGAAGAATTTTATTAAATTTTTTTAAAATAATTGAATTCCTGAGAAGAATTTAAATAATAATTGATGAAAATAATTGAATTAATAAGAAACATTTCGCTGTCTATATTTATTAAGATAATTTAATTCTTGACGAGAATTTTAAAAAAATTTTGAAAATAATTTATTACTTTTCAAAAGAATTGAATTCTTATGATTAATTTTTATATTCATCAAAATAATTGAATTTTGTGAAAGAAAGAAGATTTTTGTTGTTTATCAAGATAATTTTGAAAAAGAAATTTTTTAAAAAATTCCTTAAAATAATTAATTTTCTTCGACGAATTAAAAGTTATTTATGAAAATATTTATGAATTTTTGCAACGAATTTTATTATTTTATTGAATATAATTAAATGTTTCTTAAAATTATTGAATTCTTTCATCAAGTTTAAATAAAATTTTTTAAAATAATTGCATTTTTCAAGGTAATCGATTAAAATTGTATTAAAAATAATTGAAATTCTGCAATGAGTTTTATTATTTCTGAAAATATAATTGAATTATTGAAAAGAAACTTATAAAAAATTTTGTAAATATTTGAATTCCTGGAAAATTTTTATTATTTATGAAAATAATTAAATGTTTGCGTACAACTTTATTAAAATTGTTTTTAAATAATTGAATTCTTTTGGATAATTTTATTAAAATAGTAGATATTGAAAATCATTTAAATGGGGAAAATTTTTGAAAATAATTGAATTTTGAAAAAGAATTTTTTTTATTTATAAAGATAATTGGGATTTTAACGAGAATTAAAAAAATATATTTTAAACATAATTGCATTTCTGCGAAGACATTTATGAAAATTTATGAAAATAATTGAATTCCTGTGTAGAATTTTTTTTAAAAATAATATTCAAAAGAATGTAGTAAATCTGAAGAATTTTTCTATTTATGGAAATAATTGAATTCTTGAGAATTATTTTTTTTTATTTTTATCGATTTACCTGTAACTTCTCTATTGGTTAACTGTACATAATCTTTACGACTTTTGTTTAATATGTAAAATTTTATAAAATAACATCGTATTTTATTTTCTAAAACTCATTTTGTTGTTTTCGAGCATTCCACTTGTATTAAGGGAAATACAATAGAATAAAGTGTTAATGATTACAACAGTTACTTAAAAAAGTATATATAACTGACAACATTAACGTAAGTACCTATTTTCTTTATTAAAAAATAAATAATTATTTATTGAAATACAATTAAAATAAAATATTTCCCTTCCTCATAAGAAGCTTTATATATAGTGATGTAATTTTAATTAAATATTTCAAAATGAATTGAATTTTATTAAAAGAGTTGCGTTTACAATTTTCATAAGTATAAATCAACTTCAACAGGTTTTCATTTCAAATTTTTAAAAATTTTTAATAAAATTCTAGACAAAATTTCAATTATTTTCAAAAATTTTCCGCAATTCAATGATTCTTAATATCTACTATTTTAATAAAATTTTCCAAAAGAATTTAATAATTTAAAAAAAAATATTAACAACATTCTACGCAAATATTTACATACTTATTTTCATAAAAAACAAAAAAACACAAATTTCACAGGAATTCAATTATTTACAAATTTTTTATAAATTTCTTCTGAATAATTCAATTATTTTCACAAGTAAAATTTTTTACATACATTCAATTATTTTCATAAAGATAATAAAACTTATCGTAGAATTTCAATTATTTTTAATAAATTATGATTGGTAAAATTCACAGCAAGAATTGAATTATTTTGCTTCCTCGTGAGGAAGCTTTGTAGTCGTTTAATTTACAAAATGTTTAAAAATCCTTTTAACAAATTTTCCTCTATATAGGACTATGTTATATAAGACCCTGAACAATTGTCCGGATGTGTGTATGTGTGTGTGTGGATCCCGATTTTTGTGAACACGATAACTCGAAGAGGTTTTAACGAATTTGGCTAAAATTTACCAGGTATATTTATCATAAAAATATCTCGAAATGGATTGATAAACTTTAAAAAATTCTCAGAAAAAATTTTTTTTTTGACTTTTTTCTAAAAAAATTTTTTTTTCAAAAATTTTTTTTTAAGTTGGTTATTGAAGTTAATATATTATAATAAAATCTTATTCTTTGCATCAAGACGAATCGATTGGTACATAAAAAGTATAAATTGTATGAGAATTTACAGAGTTAATCACAATTAATGCTGAAAAATTCGCGTTTTTATCAAAAAATTAGTTCTTTCCGCAAAATTATGTTGCCATATAAGAAAATCTTACTATTTACTTCTAAAATCTTATTCTTTACACCAAGACGGATCGATTGGTATATATAAAGTATATATTGTATTTAAATTTATAGAATTAAAACCAATTATAGACAAAAAATTTGCACTTTTAATAAAAATTCATTTTTCTTAAAAATCATGTTGCTGTACAATAAAATGTTATTATTTATTGAAAAATAAATCAAAAATCTTATTCTTTGCATCAAGACGAATCTATTGATGTATGTAAAGTATATATTCTATTGAAAATTATAGAAATAATTACAATCAAATTTGAAAAATTCACTTTTTTACTAAAAATTTTTTGTTTATTTAGATTCATATTACTGTATAAGAAAGTTTTTTTATTCTAAAAAATTTTTAATTAAATTTTTAAGAATAATTACATTTTCTAAGAAATTCCTGTTAAATTTGTATTAAAAATATTTAAAATCCTCTGATGAATTTTATTTTTTATGAAAATAATTGAATTCTTGCTAACGATTTTATTAGAATTTTTAAAAATAATTGAATTTCCAAAAAGGAATGTATTACTTATGAAAATAATTGAATTCCTGTGATAAATAATGTTATTTATGAAAATAATTGAATTTTGGAAAGAATTTAATTAAAATGCCTCAAAATAATTGAAGTTTCGGAAATAATTTTATTATTTATCGACAAAATTGAATTCCTGTCAAAAATTCTAATATTTTTGTAAATAATTGAATTCTTCCAAAAAATTTCAGAAAAAGCATTTTTTTAAGTAATCGATTTCTTCGAGGAATTGAAAATAAATTTTTAAGAATAATTGAATTCCTGAAAATTATTTTATTATTTATGAAAATAATTTAATTATTGTGGAAAATTTTATTAAAATGTTTAAAAAGAATTGAATTTCTGTGAAAAATTTTGTTATTTTTGAAAATAATTGAATTCTTGTCGAGGGCTTAATTTGTGAAAATAATTTAGTTTTTCGACTAATTAATTTAAAATATTTTAAAATATTTGAAATTCTTCAATGAGTGTTAAGTATTAATTATGAAAAATAATTGAATTCTTGCTTAGAATTTTATGAAAATTTTTTTTTAAATAATTGAATTTTCATGAAAACATTTATTATTAGTGAAAGTAATTGAATTACAGTGAAGAATTGTATGAAAATTTTGTTAAATAAAAAAAAACATTTCTTTAAATAATTGATTTTTACACGAGGAAATTTGGAATTAAATTTTTATGAATAATTACATTTTTTGAGTAATTCCTGTAAAATTGTAAAATTGTAAAATTGTATTAAAAATTTTAAAATAATTGAAATCGTGCGATGAATTTTATTATTTATAAAAATAATTGAATAGTTGCTATAAGAATGTTTTTAAAAATTTACAAAAATAATTCAATTCCTGGAAAGAATTTCAATATTTTTTGAAAATCATTGAATTCTTACAAACGATTTTATTAGAATTTTTAAAAATAATTGAATTTTTGTGAAAAATTTTGTTAGTTTTGAAAATAATTGAATTTTTTAGAAGAATTTTATAAACAATGTTTTAAATAATTAATTTTTCCGAAATACAATAAATATTATGAAAATTTTATTTTAAATAATTGAATTCTTGTGGAAAATTTTATTTGTGAAAATAATTGAATTTTTCAATTAATTAATTTAAAATAGTTTAAAAAATAATTGAAATTCTTCGATGAGTTTTATTATTTATGAAAATAATTAAATTCTTATTTAGAATTTTATCAAAATTTTTTTAAATACATAATTGAATTTCGATGAAAAATGTTATTATTAGTGAAAGGAATTGAATTATTGTGAAGAATTGTGAAGAATTGTATAAAAATTTTGTCAAATAATTGATTTTTTCGTAATTTTTGTTGAAAATGCTATTCTTAATTAATTGAATTCCTGTGGAAATTTTATTATTTATGAAAATAATTGAATTTTTGATGAATTTTATCAATTTGTTTTCTAAATAATTGAATTGTTTTGCGAAATAATTGAACCGTTTTAAAGAATTTGATTATAATTTTTAAAAATAGTTTTTTGATGTCTAGTATTGTAGTTTTCAAAATTAAAGTTTTATTAAAGTTTTATTTAAAGTTTTCAATGCTTCTTTTGGCTCTTCAGGTATAAATTAAAGTCACATTCGACAAAGATTATCATTGATCAATCATGATTAGACTAACAATCATCTGTCTTGTAATCGCACTGTCCAATGGCGCACATGTGAAATTGAATAACACGGATTTAGAGGAATTAAGAATATCTGTCTCAGAGTCAAAGGAATATTTGAAAAATCTATCTGTGAATGAAGACTCGGCAGTTTTCTTCGGCAATGATAAAGCCGGAAAAAGTACACTAATTAATTATTTAATCGGCACTCAATTGAAGGGTGTAAAAGAACTCTATAATCGTACAAGAATAGTAAAAGCTAACAGTAACTCCAGCGGACCGGAAATTAATGCTAAGTCTACATTAAACATTAGAAAACCAACAAAGTGGATTTCAAAAAAATTACCCAATTTGACTCTCTGGGAGACTACTCCATGTATCATTAAAGATCTAGATAAAGTAAAATTCATCACTAATGAGATTTATATCCATCAATTAGTAAAATCTGTTAAATCTCTAAAAATTATTTTAGTTGTCGACTTCACAGATATTAAAGATTCTGATGACATTAATCTGTTTACAACACTTATAGATTATGTTGCAAATATTTTTGGAAATAGATTTGAAGAATATTTTCCCGCTGTATCTGTAATTTTCACAAAAGTACCTGAATATGTTCAAGAAACTCGAGTTAATTACGAAACTATAAAAGTTACTTTAGAAAGCTATTTAGAACTCAATAAAGCGCAAAATTCAGAAGTTTCGATAAATTTTATACGGTATTTATTAGATAATGAAGATCGAATTGCACTCTTCAAGAGATTAAATGATGAAGGTAATGTTACTTCCAAAATCAATGTTAATATTTTTCCGACAATTAATAACAGTAGAAGCATAAAGGAAAATTGTCTCCAGGAAATACGTTTGAGTAATGCAGCTTCAAACGTAGCGCTATTTGATTCTTCGACAATAAAAGAAATTCTGTTGGAGGAAGACAAAAAAAACAAGAGTTAAAAAGTTGAAAAATACGATTTTCAAAATATTCCATATGTACTACTTGCTTTTTTTATCGAATTCGAGTGATTGCAAAATAATAAAATATTTGTGAAATGAATTGTTTTCTTCAATTTTTTCTTCAAATGTATTAGTGTAATAAAAATATTTTTAATACCAGAAAAATATTACTGTTTCTTTTCCTCCATGTTCATAAGCAGACTTCGCAATCGATAATTAATTTTTAAAAAGTAGCAAAAAGTAGCATTCAAACAAAAAAAAAAAAGAAGTAGTAAAAAAAGTAGCTATCGAAAAATTAAACTTGACGACCAAAAAAACTCGTTTTAGAAACTTTACAAAACTGACAAAAATTCCATTCTATATTTTATTTTTCCGACTTTTTCCTAATTTTCGTAAAAAATATTTACTTTTTTCTTATCCTCCTAGTAAATTGAATTTCTACAACGAATTTTATTATTCATGATACAATTTAAATATTTAGAAAAATAATTCAATTCTTGCGAAGAAGTTTATAAAAATTAAATACATAATTGATTTCACCTTTCGTCTAATTTTATGCAAATTCTAATTTAAATAATTGAATTCCTGAGAAATTTTTATTATTCATAAAAAGAATTTAATTCTTAGATTTTTACAAAAAAATTTTTAAATAATTTAATTCTGTTTGGAAATTTTATGAAAATAATAGATATTGAAAATCATATTGAATTGCTAAAAGTTTTTACAAATATATAAATTTTACAAAAATTCAATTAAAATCTTGCAAAAAATTATATCAGAATTTTTAAAAATAATTGAATTTCCAAGAAGAAATTTAATACTTTTAAATATAATTGAATTCTTTTGTGATGAATATTGATATTTATGAAAATAATTGAATTTTGCAAACAATTTTATTAAAATGCCTTAAAATAATTGAATTTTTGGGAAGAATTTTGTTATTTATCAACATAATGAATTCTTTCGAAGAATTATTCCTGTGAAAAATTCTAATATTTTTGTAAATAATTGAATTCTCCCAAAGAATTTTAAAAAAATATTTTTTTTTGAATAATTGATTTTTTCGAGGAATTGAAATTAAATTTTTAAGAATAATTATATTTGTGACTGTCCGCGACAAAAGGGACCTTAGCTCCATGTAAATACATGGGAGCTAAGGTCCCTTTTGTCGCGGACAGTCACATTTTTCGAGCAATATCTGTTAAATTGTATTAAAAATAATTGAAATCCTGCGTAAAATTTGATTATTTTTGAAAATAATTGAATAGTTGCAAAGAATTTTATTAAAATTTTCAAAAATAATTAAATTTCCAAAAAAAAAATTTATTACTTTTTAAAAATAATTAAATTCTTGTGATAAATATTGTTGTTTATGAAAATAATTGAATTCTTGCGAACGATTTTATTATAATTTTTTTAAATAATTGAATTTCCAAGAAGAAATTTATATTACTTTTAAAAATAATTGAATTTTTCTGATACATATTATTATTTATGAAAATAATTGAATTTCATCAATTTTTTTTTTGTTAATAATTGAATTCTTTTGCGAAATTTTATGAAAATACTAGATATTGAAAATAATTGAATTTCGAATATTTTTTGAAAACAATTGAATCGTTTTAAAGAATTTGATTATAATTTATAAGAATAGTTTTTTTATTTCTAGTATTAGCTAATTTAAAGTAAATTCTCAAAAAAAAAAAACAGAAATAGTAGCTTTTTGTAGCTGAAATCTTAAAAAAGTACTCAAATAGTAGAATAACGTAAAAAAGTAGTAAATAATAAGTTTTAGTAGAAATCAAAACGCATATTTAGAGAACAATGAAAAATTAAATTTATTATTGATTTTTATACATTTTAAAAAAACGTAAAACTAATTTTAATTAAAAACTATTTGTAAGATTTTTTAGCTCGCCAATCAAGAAATTCGTCGACTTCATCGTCATCGCTTGATGATGATTCCTTTTCTAAATATTCCATTTTTCTATCTACAGCTTGCATTTTTTCTTTAAGCCTTACAAGATCCATTACTTTCGATAATCGTTGTAATTGTTCTTCAATAACGTCTTCTTGTCTTTTTGCCGTCGCCTCTTCTTGATCATCTGCTATTATCTGATTTGCCTGCGCCTCTTCCTCCTTAATTTCTTTTTTAAACTTTTCCCATTCTTCTTCTATTGGATCCTTATACTCTACATTTCGTACCTGAAAGCAATATTTGTTTAATAATAATAATAATAAAATATTTATAAATTAAAATTAATCAATAAAAAATATATACTATAAAAGATAGAAAGTATTCTAATTACTCGAGCGTCTAAAATCGGATCGTCAAAAAATCCTTCAGGAAGCACCGATGAATTGTCTTTCACTTTCGTCTGATTATCATTCTCACTTTCTTCATCGTTGGTTATAATTTCCGATGATTCAACGTTAGTCGTTGCTTTCGATGCTTTTGATTTACTCTTTGTTGAATCATTTTTTCCTGATGGAGGTTTATTGTCAAAAAAATCAGCAGGTAATTGTGATTTTGTTTGTGAAGAAGGACTCGAATTCTTCAGAATGCCTTTAACTTTCTTGACAGGCTGTGATTCATGTAATGTAGAAGAGGATCTTTTCTGTCCGGAAACTGTCGACTTTGCTTTTTCAAGTTGTTGTTTCGCATTTTCTATATTTTCTTTGTGTTTCTTTGAATTGATATGAATTGGCCAAGCTGCTTCGTTGTTGACAGTAATCTTACAAATAATGCAAGTTAATTGCCCTAATGAATTATACGTAATCACATCGTTAAGGAATAATTTTGTATAAATAAATACAATTAACTATTTTGTCAAAAAAAAGGACTAAAAACGATTATTTTCAAAAAATTTTCTAATTTCAATAATTTTCAATATCTACGATTTTAATAAAATTTCCCAAAACGAATTCAATTAATTACAAAAAAATTTTAATAAAATTGTATGTAAACATTTAATTATTTTCATAAATAATAAAAATTTCCACAGGAATTCAATTATTTTCATAAAAAATAAATTTTTTTTAAGGAATTCAATTATTATTTTAAAAAAAAATAATTTAAAATTCTAGAGTCTTCGACTTGGAGCAATCGATATCTTCATGTTTTATAACAAATACTTTTATAACTTGTTCAATTTAAAAAAGGTTCGAATTTGAAATTTTTGAATGTCTTAATTCCTGTGGAAAATCCTATTCCAAAAATAAGATTAAATATAACTTCATCTTTAAATAAATATTTAATCAATTTTATTTTTCCATAGGAATTAAGATTTTCAAAAATTTCAAATTCATCTAGTTTTGAAATTCGATAACTTATAATTTATAATACTAACAAATAATTATTAAATAGTAATTATTATTATTTATTATTAATAATAATAATAATAATAAATAATTATTGTTACTGTAACTTCTTAAAAATTATTTTCATCATTTCAATTCAATTATTATTTTCTAGAATTTGTAACAAAAATTCTTCTTTAAATCAAATTTTCAAAGATTTTAATTTGAAAAATTTTTTAAATTCAATTATTATCTAAAATTTTAACTAAAATTCATTTTTAAATCAGTTTTTATTCGAAAATTCAACAAGATTTCAATTATTTAAATATAAAAATTATTTTGACTAATTTTAATAACATTTTTAAGAATAATGACATTTTTCGAGAAATTTATTTGATTAAAATTGTACTATAAATAGTTAAAATTCTGCGATGAGTTTTATAATTTATGAAAATAATTGGATTATTGCGAAAAATTTTATTGAAATGGTTAAAAAGAATTGAACCTGTGAAAAATTTTATTATTTTTGAAAATAATTGAATTTCTGCGAAGAATTTTATTACTTTTAAAAATAATTAAATTTCTGCAATCATTTGTAACTTCTCCAAAATTCTATTTTTTGGTTTGTGTTTTAACTAAAATTCTTCTATAAATCCATTATTTTTAATAAATAATTAAACATATATTTAAAAATTTAACTTAATTAAATTTAGAAGAAGAATTTGAATTATTAAAATTTTATAAAATCTCAAATGAAAACGTTTTGAAGTTAATAAATTTATAAAAAATTGTAAACCCAACTCTTTTGAAATTCAATTTTGAAATATTTAAGGAAATTATTTATTAAATAATTTGTAATTAATAATTTTATGACTTGTGGCAACTTTGTTATTATAACATAGAATTAAAATATTCTTAAATAATATTTTTTTCTACATATCAAAAATATGAAACAGTGAAAACTTAATATTTTTTTGTCCTTATCATTAGTAATAGAACTAGAAATATTCAGAAAAAAATTTCTATCGAAAATACATAAAAAAGCAAGCTATTAAAATTTATCATAAATCGTTACTGATTTTTATGTAAAAAAAAAAGATTGTTTATTTTCATGAAAATATCCAAAGCGCAATATAATGCTAATAATAACTAATAACATGCAATCTTAATATTTAATTATAATTAAAAGGATATTTTGCCAGTGGTGATTCTATTTTCTTTTGTACACCTAATTTTTGTTTTGTATTGTTCATTATCTTACGCAATTCCTGTTGCGTCAAAGCTTTTTTTGTCGACATTATGGAAAATTCTTTTATTCACACAAATTCAAGTAAAAATTATTATAAATTTCAAATTCTTTTAATCTAAATAACTCCAAATGTTGTCAGATCTGTCAATTTAGTAGTTTTTCGAGGTTACGTTGTGTTTTGTATAAGAAAGTTAGGTTATCGCTGTCCTTGTTTAGCTCGGAAACACTCGGAAATATAAATGGTAATATTACCAGAAGAATGAGAATATGATGAAAACGGGAATATAACCAAGAAATATATTCTCACGATATACAACTGTCATAACCTGTTAACTTATACGACTTATACTTAAAAAGTGTTCATCTCGTTCATCTTGTGAATAAAATGTCTTAAAGAAAGAGATACTTGTTTATAAACTTTATAAATAAGACTCATAATTAATTTTCAAACATTTAAAATTAGATAAAAGAATAAATTAGCTTTTGTTTGCTATATTTTTCTAAAGAAAACAAAAAACGTACATAACCTCCATAAAATATGTTCTTTAATAATATTTAAATATTAGTTAGTTAATACTTAATTTGCTAATGTTAATTATTTCATTGCTAGTCAATTTTTATTTCAACAATTTATTTTTTCTAAACAAATGAATTGCGAAAGTTTAAGTTATTAGAATATTCTAAAATTCTCGTTATATTCTTGAGAATATTTTATAAATTCCCAAGAATTTTATAACTAAATCCACGAACGAAATCTAAACAAGGAGTAAGGGCAAAAAATGATTATTATTTGAATCAGATAATAATGGATAATTGTTTTTTAGGGTGAGAAAAATGGTAAAGAAATGCGAAGTTATATCCTGTCAATCGACACAAGGACCTTTTTTTAAATTTCCCCATCCCTACAAGGACGCAGAACGATGTACAGAGTGGATTAGAGCAAGTGGTAACTCAGCTCTTTTGAAAATAGAGGAAAAAATTTGCAATAAAGTAATTTGCATATTACATTTTGATATAAGTGTGAGGTTTTGTAAAAAATTGTTGAGATCAGCAATACCTACAAAGGAATTACCAGGTAATTATTGAAATAAAAGTGTAAAAAAGAAAATATTATTTTTAAGTAGTTTGCAATGAAAACTTTGTTTATTTTTGTTTACAAAAATTAAATTCTAATGTTCTAAACACTGTGACGCACTCCTGAGAGAGGTACAGAACCTAAGAAGCAAATAAATTAAAGATTAACGTTTTTGTTAGATTTGTCTTGATTTTTCTCTTATTCAAAAAATTGTAAACATAACCTCAAATTTTTTGCTTCTCAAGTATACCTTTCGATGTTAACACCGAGTTAATCGTGATTGAATAAATTAAAACTTTGTTTGAACTGTCCTTAACTCGGTGGTAACATTGGGTGAATAACTTTCTTGGGAGAAAGTAATAAATACAGTAAACAAATAATTTATATAACAAATTAACAGCTATGGAAAGTGAAATGAAAACGTCTCTTGAAATTGATGACAAAAAGTCAATTGTCGATAAAATTGTTTCAAATACAAAAAATGAATCCAGTGCAGAACCTTCTGCTTGTAAATCCTGTTCAAATGAACTAACAAAAGAGGAACTGATATCAATGATTGTAAGATGCACTAATTTTGCAGCTCTTAAACACAGTAAACAAAGAAGAAAAAATATCGAACAAACTCCATACATTAATCATCCTATTGGTAATTATTAATTATTAATAATAATAAAGTACATGTTCCGGTAATCTGTTCGCAGATTAATTAAGTTTAATTATAAAATTAATTTTTCACAGGAGTGGCGAATATTTTAATCGAGGAGGGTAATTGTTACGATGCAGTTGTGATTCTCGCGGCATTATTACATGACACAGTCGAAGACACAGACACAACTTTTGATGAAATAGAACAAGAATTTGGCAAAGATGTTCGCAATGTTGTGGCTGAAGTAACAGATGATAAAACTTTATCCAAACTAGAGCGAAAATCAATGCAAATTAAAAAAGCACCAAACTCCACTAATCGAGCAAAATTAGTGAAATTAGCCGATAAATTGTACAATTTACGTGATTTGAGAAAAGAAACTCCAATTGGTTGGACATCAGAAAGAGTCAATGACTATTTCAAGGCACTTTTATTTAAATTTTACATTTATTGGACAAAAATATTTTCAAAAAAATTAATATTTATTATTTCTATACTTCCAGTGGGCGAAAGCTGTAATAAATGGATGTCGTGGAACAAATAAGAATTTAGAAACCTTATTGGACGCAATTTTTTCTCAGCATTCAAATAATATTTCTAAATAATATATTTAGAAAAATGATAAGTTCTTTTTAAATATTATTTAAAACAAGTGATATATTCGTTGATTATAAAGATCCGTACAAAATAAAATAAACATATTTTCATATATCTAAATTTTTGATTTTCGTAAAAAAAAATGTATGTACAATAATCCTTATAATGGGAAAGAAACCCATTTCAAATTAAATACTTTAAATAACAAAGTATTCTCTTCAGAGTCTGTTTTTTTTATTTTCAAATTGCACTTGTAACACTTGATTTTTACTTGAAAGAAAATTTACTGCTTCGATTCTTGAAACCATTTCATGTACGAAGCCAAAATTTCGACTTCCTCAATTGTTACCGCATTGTAAAGGGAAGCACGAATTCCGCCAACTGATCTATAAACCATTTTAAAAAGAAAATTATAATCAAGTCAAAAGAAAAAGAATTAATCAGAAGAAGACTCAGGGCTCGAACTAGGTCCGTAAATTTTGCTTCAAGTCCGTAAAAGTCAGTTTTTTTGAAAAAAAGGTCCGTAACGAAATGACGAGAAAATTTCGTAAATTGTACGATATAAATTGGAGAATTTTGGAGAAATTCAATTATTTTCAAAATGAATAAAATTCATCGCAAAAATTAAATATTGTTCAAAAATATTTAATAAAATTCGATGCAAGAATTCAATTATTTTTATAAATAATAACATTCTTAGGAAGAATTCAATTATTTTTATGGTAAATAGTAAAACTTTTTGCAAAAATTCAATTATTTTCAACAAAATTTTAAAAAAAATTGACGAAATAATTCAATTATTTTCTAAAATTTTAATAAATCCTTGAAAACAATTCAATTATTTTTTTAAATAGTCAAATCTTTGGAAAAATTCAATTATTTTCAATAGAATTTCACGGAAGAATTCAATTTTTTTCTTAATTCATTATAAAAATTTTTCAAAAGAATTCAATTATTTTTAGTACCTACAATTTTAATTGAATTCCTCGAAAAATGTAATTATTCTGAAAAATTTTATTAACATTCGTGGAAAGAATTCAATTACTTAAAAATTCAATTATTCAATAAATTATTGATTTTTGTATTTAAATAATTTAATATTAAAAATAATTGAATTGATAATGATTTTATCACTCGGTCATCTTTAATTTATTATAATTTATAAATCATGAAGAAATCGAAGACTCGGAGTTATTGATATCTTCATGTTTTATAGAATTATGAAAAATTTAATTTATAGCTTTAAGTAAAATGTTTTCTTAATTGATTCAGATTTGTTATATATTTTTGTCAGTAAATGGTCCGTAATTTTTCATTCTTGGTCCGTAAAGTCTGTATTTTTAAATATTTTGACTAGTTCAAGCCCTGGAAGAATTAAAAGACAAACGAACCTGTGTCCTTTCAGTTGCAACATGCCACGTTCACTGGCACCAGTCAAAAATTCCTTTTCTAATTCGTCATTATTTTTTATTCTAAATGGCACATTCATTCTACTGCGACAGTCCTTTTTAATCGGACAAACATAAAAACCTTGAGAATTATCAATAATATCATAAATTCTCTTGCTTTTTTCTACAGCCTTTTTCTCCATTCCCTTCACTCCTCCATTTCTTTGAATCCATTTGAAAACTTTGCCGACAAAGTAAATTCTGTAATTTATTTAATTTATTTTTAATTCAACATTATTTTAATTTTATTTCAATGATAATTATATTACCTATTATTAAAAGGCTCTAAAAGATGTAAATCAAAATTTGTAGCATCAAGAAACAAATTCTATTCTAATTAAATTAAAATTCTAATTAAATTGTAATTAAAAATTTAATTAATTAAATAAAAATTCTATTCTTATTGATAATAACTATTCCAGTTATTATCAAAGTCAGTATTAATTAAAATTTTATTTTATTTATGATTTGTAATAATTCTCTCTCTCTCTCAACCTACTGGAATGTTGGAGGTGTATTATAAATGGAATTATTCTCGGCCATCACTGCAAAATCGAGTATCGATGGACAAACTGACATTGCATGGCCTATAATATCCTCTCGTATAATTACTAACGTCACACCTGCTGGACCAATGTTTTTTTGCGCTCCAGCATAAATCACTGCAAACTGAAATAAAATACAAAAACTTATTTTATAACAAAAATGTTTCTCTTAAATTTACCTTTGAAACATCTATTGGTTTTGTCAAAATATTTGACGACATATCGGCAACGAGAGGAACTCCTTTAGTGTCAGGAATGAAGTTGAACTCAATACCTAGAAAGATTTCGTTTTATTTTTGATTATTAATTAAATTAAAATAATTTAATTTTTGTTAACTAAAATTAAATCTGTGGTAGGAAAAAGGAACTAACCGTGAATTGTCTCATTGTCGCAATAATAAACATAGGATGCATTTGGATCCAGATTCCAGCTCGAGGAATCCGGAATTTCCACATAAGAGCTAGTCTTTGGAAGAACCAAATTCACTTTTCCATATTTCGCTGCTTCCTTTGCAGCTTTTGATGACCATGAACCTGTTTGAATGGAAAATAAAATAAAATTTTTGAAGAAGTGAAAAATAATAGTAAACCAATTTTTTTTTTACCAGTTACGAAATAATCTGCAGTTCCAGTTTTCATCATATTCAGAGGAATTGCTGCAAATATTCCTGTGCCTCCTCCTTGCATGAATAAAATTTTGTAATTCGATGGAATGTCACTAAAAGTTGCATTTGAAAGGTTTAATTTCTTGTTTTTTAATTATTATAAAATTATTAAATATTAAATATTAAATACATAAATCTTACAGTATTTCTCGTAATGTTGCCTGTGCATCATTTATGATTTTATTAAAATCACTTGATCGATGACTGAGTTCCACAATACTGATATTTGTATCTCCAAATGAATGAAATCCTTTCTGAACTTCCTCAATCACCTTCAAATAAAAAGGATGAATAATTATTTTAAAGAATCATTTTTTTAATTAAATATATCAAATTAAATATATTTTCTTTTCAAAATATTTATTTTGAACAAGAAAATAATTTTTGAACATTTAGAAAAAGAAAAAAAAAATATTTTCGTATATTTGTTCTTTTTCAAAATGTTCAAATTTTCTTCTAAGTGAAAAAAATACCATTTTAATTCAGGGTTGCCACAAATATTCAATTTTGTTTTACCCTGACTTTTTCCTGACTGATTTCGACTTTTTCCCTGACCCTAAAGAATATTCTGATTCACTCTAAAAATTATTAGATACTAAAACATATTTTTTTTACATTTATTTAATCATTAATATTCTTCAACAGAAATGAAGATTTTCGAAAATTTTAAATTCACACCTTTTCAAACCTTTCTCAAAAGAATTCAATTATTTAAAAAAAAATGTAATAAAATTCGTTGCAAGAATTCAATTATTTTAATAAATAATAAATCAATTATTCGAAAATTCAATTTAAAACCAATTTTTATTAGAAAATTCTACGAGAATTCAATTATTTAAATTCATAAATAAATAATTAATTGAAAAATTACATTTTTGTTAAATTTTAATTCTCATAAAGAATTTTATCAACAAATTTCTTATTAATTGAATTCGTCTGACGAATTTTAATAACATTTTTAGTAATACATATATTTTTCGAGATATTTGATTAAAATTGAACTAAAAATAATTGAAATCCTGCAATGAGTTTTATTATTTATAAAAATAATTAAATTACTGAGAACAGTTTTATTATTTATAAAAATAATTGAATTATTGCGAAAAAATGTACAAAAAAAATTTATAAATAATTAAAATCCTGGGAAATTTTTATTATTTATAAAAAAAAATTTGTTTGCGTAAAATTTTATTAAAATTTTCTTTAAATAATTGAATTTCAGCGAAGGTTTTTTCTATTTAAAGATAATTGAAATTATGACAAGAATTTTTTTTTTAATTTTTGAAAATAATTTAATTTCTAAAATGAATTTTTTTAACTCATGAAAATATTTTTATTCTTGTGATTAATATTGTTATTTATGGAAATTATTGAATTTTGCAAAGAATTCTATTAAAATTCTTGAAAACAATTGAATAATTGTTCAACAGAATTGAAATTATAATTTGTATTAAAAAATAATTGAAATTCCGCGATGAGTTTTATTATTTATGAAAATAATTGAATCCATGTACAAAAATTTACTTGTGAAAATAATTAAATTATTGAGCAGAAATTTATAAAAACAATTGTAAATTTAATTGAATTACTGTGAAATTTTAATTATTTATATAAATAATAAAAAGGTTTGCTTAGAATTTTATTAAGATTTTTTTTTTAAATAATTGAATTCTTTTGGAAAATTTTATTAAAATAGTAAATATTTAAAATCATTGAATTGAGGAAAATTTTTGAAAATAATTGAATTTTGGAGAAGAATTTTGTTATTTATAAAGATTCTTTAATTTTTGACAGGAATTTTTTACTATTCTTAAACATAATTGAATTTCTGTGATGAATTTTTTTAATTTTGAAAATAATTGAATTTCCGCAATTATATTTGTAACTTCTTCAAAATTCAATTTTCTTTAGTGTTTTTAACTAAAATTCTTTTATAAATCCATATTTTTTAATAATTAATTAAATATGTATTAAAAAATGTAACTAATTTGAATTATTAAAACTTAAAAAAAATTTTATTTCTTTAAAATTTCTAATTAAATTCATTCAAAATTGAGAGTTTTCTTATGAATTTTAAAAATTCAATTTTTTCCAGTACTTTTACCGAAAATCCCTGACTTTTCCCTGATTTCCCTAAACCTATTCTACTTTCCCTAATTTTTTCCTGAATTCCCTGACTTCCCTGACTTGTGGCAACCCTGTAATTTAAATGATTTAAATATACATTCAAGTTAAGAATATTTTGAATGACTCATTACAAATTTAAGACAATTATTTAGCAATTTTATTATCAACATTGATAATTATGTAAATTTTTCAAACAACAGATATATTTTTCTCTGCTTGATACATTTCTAAAAAATGTAAAATTTAAGCAAGAGAGAAAAATCTGGAAAAGAAATCATTTTAGATTTTGGGGACATGATAAGAATTGAATTTAGAAATATATTCAACACGTGAACATATTTTGTGAAAGATTGGAATTTTTTATCAAAATCACGTGAAATATTTGCTCTTATCAATTAAAGGAATAATAATATTTTATATTTTATAAAAATTATGAAAATTACAATTACAAATAGAAATTTATATTTATTTCTTTAATAATTGACTAATTGAATCTGACACTGACAATTAGGATTTCCAAAAATCACTTATTGTTGATAAATTATTTTTATAATTATAAACAACAAATTTTTATAATATTTAATGAAAACTATTAGCAATAATAATTTTTTTTACAATGAAAAAAAATTCTGATTGTTTTAACTGGAATATCGTGTTAAATATTCCCTATAATAGACAATAACCAGAACTCCTTTTTCTCAGTATATAATGTTACAAATTGAATTACTTAATTGGAATTAATTTTTTAAATACCTCTTCAGGAAGTTTTGCTGGTCCAGCACCAAAATTAATGACTTTGGTAGATTTTGAAGACATGTTGATGACTTTTCGAAGAGACTAAGAAAAATGTAAAAATATTTTAAATTTCTACTTATAGTTATACTTATAGTTAAATATGTCGGAGAGTAACAGACAAGCGAAAGATAAGAAAAATGCCGAAGTAGAACAAAATAATATATACCTACCATTTGAATCACGAACAATAAAATAAATAAAATGAATAAAATTTATAAAGTAAATTTGTAATTAATAATTTCTTATTCTAGAATGGAAAAGTATTTAACAATCAGATAGAGAATTCATTTCCTGTCAGTAATTTTTAAATTAATTAATATTCGATTCTAATTGTAAAGAAAAATGCCCATAAATCAGAATTTGAAACAAGATTTTTATTTTTCAGAAGCTTGAATTTATTTGTAGAAAATTTGTTCTATCACTTACTTCTGTTCACGTTGCAGGAAAAATGAAACTGAAACTGACAGCAGAATCTAACAAACAGGCAAACTGGTTCTAAATTCTTGTCAGCGGCAGTCCCCCACCAGTACCGGTGAATTAACCATACTGACCTAAGAACAGTCATTTCTTTCACATGTACACATGTAGAGTCAACCGAGTTTATAAAACGATTATAATATGAAATGTATAATAATCCATTGATTATTACTTACATATCAATTTTTTATTGTCTTTTCTTTTTTACATCTAATTTTATTCTTCTTTTTATTTCTCGTAATGTGCCTATTTTTATACACCCAGAGAAAAATTTTATTTAAACCAAATATATTTTATTTGAGTTAAATATATAAACGTATATTTGTCTCAGAGTCAATTAAGTTATTTATTTGTTTTAAATAAAAATTTTATTTTTAAATAAACATCTTATTTTTAAATAAAAATTTTATTTTTATTTAAAAATATTATTTGACATATATAAAACATAAATTTGAGCCAAATAAAATTTTATTCAAAACCAAATAAAAATTATTTGAAACAAATAAAAAGTCTAGTTGGCTCTGAGTCAAAAATGTATCTTTTCTCTGGGTCTATTAACAGTTTTTATTAAAAAAAAACTGTTATTATTCTTTCAAGTATTTTTCTATATTTCATTCAGAAAAAAATTTAATTGAAACAACCAAATTTTTGTTGACTCGACCAAATTAATTCATTTCTTTGAAATTTTCGTCTGGTTTAACTAAAATTTTGATTCAGATGACCAAATTTTTTTGGTCAAACGCAAAATTTATTGTTAACTAAACCAAATCTTATTAATTGAATCCAAACTTCATTTGGAATAACGTAAAAATAAAGTTTATAAAATAAATTATTTGAATCATTTTTTTGAGGGTTCGTGATTTCGAATTTGATGTTTAAAATATTTCAAATGATTTCAATGTAACAAATTCAAATTGTATTAAAAATAATTGAAATCCTTCAAAATAATTGAAATTTATGAAAATAATTGAATTTTTGTCATCGAACTTTAATAAAGTTTTTAAAATCATTGCATTCTTGAGAAGAATTTGAAAAAAAATCTTTTTAAAGAAATGATTTTTTTTTTTAAATTTTATGAAAATTGTCTTTTAAATAATTGAATTTCTTTGAAAATTGTGTATTATTTATGAAAATAATTGATTTTTTTCAAAAAATTTTATTAAAATTCTATTGAAAACAATTCAATTATTATAAAGAATTTCATTAAAATTTTTTTAAATAATTGAATTTTTCAAGGAATTTTATTCTAATTTTTAAGAATAATTGCTTTTTTGGCGGAATTAATTTAAAAATGTATTAAAAATAATTGCAATCCTGCGATGAGTTTCAATATTGTTAAAAATATTTGAATTCCTGAGAAGAATTTTATTATTTAAAAAAATAATTTAATTCTTTCAAAGAATTTTATTAAAATTCTATTGAAGACAATTCAATTATTATAAAGAATTTCACTAAAATTTTTTTAAATAATTCAATTTTTTCAAAGAATTTTAATAAAATTTTTAAGAATTATTCCACATTTTTCGCGCAATTCATTTAAATTCATTTAATTACATTAAAAATAATTGAAATCCTGCGGTGAGTTTTAATATTTATAAAAATAATTGAATTCTTACAACGATTATTCGAAATTTTAAAAACTAATTGAATTTTCTTGAAAAATTTTATTATATTTATAAAAATAATTGAATTCTTGGGAAGAATTTTCTAAAAATTTATTTACATAATTTATTTTTTGCGAAAAATACCAGGGAAATTCTGTTTTAAATAATTGAATTCCTGTGAAATTTTTTTTTATTTATGAAAATAATTGAATGTTTGCGAAGAACATAAACATTTTTTTTAAATTATTGAATTCTTTTGGAAATTTTTTTTATTATAATAGTAAATATTAAAAATCGTTGAATTACGGAAAAATTTGTGAAACTAATTGAATCTAAAGAATTTTATTAAATTTTTTTTGAATTTTTTCCAACGACTTTATTAAAATTTTTAAAAACAATTTTTTTATTTCAACTGTTAACAATGTTAAAGTAGTGTAAATTCTCAAACATGGAAAAAAGTTGCTTTTAGTGTAACATATAAAAAACAGTATCCAAATAGTAGAAAATCGTAAAAAAAATAGTAAATAGTAGGTTTTAGTAGAATTAGTATAGGTTTTTAGTAGAATTTCTTTTAGTAGGCTTCACTTTTGACTGATTTTTTTTCTCCAAGTAAATTTTATTTCACTGTTATTTTCAAAAATGTGGATTAAATACAAAATCGAGTTAAACTTTTTTTTATCAATTTCATCCAATTTAGTATTTGATATAATTTCTAAAAAACCGTGTTGTAAAAATAAAATTTGTTTGTTTTTAATTAGCAGTTAGCGCACTGTATATTTTTTCGCATTTATTGTTTATCCCCTGCAAAGTTTTATCTGAGAAAAACATCAAAAACGTTTGCTGACCTTTTAACATTAGATACATTGAGAAAATTTTTTGTCAATTCATTCTCTTTCAATGTATTTAGCTTGGATTATTTTATATTTAACTCTCGAAACGAAATATTTTACAGGAAAAAAAATCTGTTCACAAAATTTAATCTAAATGAAAATTTCTTTACTAAGAGTTGTGTTAAAATCTGACACAATAATAAAATCTGATAAACTCTGGAAATTAAAACTCAGAAAAGAGTTTATCAAGTAAATTCATTGCGCAGTGAGGTAGCTCAGTGGCTTAATTGCTAGACTCCCAGCAGTAAGGTCTGAGGTTCGATTCCTTGTGCTTGTGATTTTTTTCAACGGAACTTATCGAAATAAAAATTTAACTAGGAACTTCTAATTTATAAATAAATACAAACAATAAATGAAATAAAAATTAGTGAAAATATAATAAATAAATTAAAATTTGGTAAAATAAAAATAATCAAATTTGAGTACTAATCAATACTAATTTGAGTATTAATCGTAAATCGATTTATTAAAATTGAAGAAAATGCGTTTTATTTTGAACATGAATGCCAACAAAATTGTATAGCTGTTCGAAAAGTAGCCTATAAACAGGGGCTTCTTAAAAGCGCCTGTAGAATGTTTTCACCCGGAAAGTTGTTACTTTGACGTATAAATATTGACAATACGACTTTATATCCTATAACAACACCCTCTATAAACTTTTAAATAAACTATTTTTTGCAACATTTTCTCTCTCTAAAAAATTCAATTTCGCTTGTAAAAATTCGAGACATTTTCGCACATTTATTATCGATCGTGAATAGAGGGCGCAGCGGGCAAACAGTTGGAAAAGAAATTTCTCTATACTGGCAGAAACGTTGATTCAACACACAGGAAATGAGGAAGTAATGACGACGGTGTAGTCATTATAGTAGTGGTGACCTTTTGTGTCCTCAAACGTCAGTCCATCACAAGCTATTGGCCAGTAAAGAGCAACTTTAAAAAGTTTTACATTTTCCTTCAAATTCCCACTGACAACTTAACTATAATAAGGTATTTGCAAAGCACTTTTCTTCCTAAAATTTTCATTTTCTCCTCTATTCTCCTAGTATGCAGTTTATAAATTTTTTCAGCATATAAGTTACAATCATTTGGGGCCTCAAATATTTTTTAAGCCCTGAAATTTATATTCTTAAAATGTAGAAAAAAATTGACAGTTAAATCTATAAATTAAAATATGACATATATGAGTTTGACACATGCTTATATTATGCCGTATATACGAAAGCATTTTATGATTGTATAATCGTTGCGCATGCGAGACCTTGAATTTTCTGTCTCTGTATAGCTGTTGCCGTTAAAATTATTCAAGGTCATGAAGCCAGTAAATTCAAGTCTGAAAAATTTTCATTTCTTCAATTTTTGGGAAATAGTTTTCCCTGTATGTGAAATGATAGTGAAAATGTGAAAAAACAAATTTCTACGCGTTACAAAATCCGATTCTATTAGAAATTTTTTTTGTTTTAAAAAAACTTCTTTTTTAATTGTAAGAAGATTAAAATTTGTGGCGAATTGTATAAAAACAGTGAAATTTGCGTTAATTTAAGTTTTGTGAATTTTATCATTTGTTTTAGTCTGAAAAACTCAGATGTGGGTGAAGGTTTTTTTTTTATTCACTCTAACAAGGCAAAAATAATTTTCTATCTTATTTGAACACGTGATAATTTTTTCTTCATTTTTTAAGAGTTCAAATTGTATCAGTTATTTTACTCGCACTCATGTGATTGCCATGCTTATGATATATGATACTTAAATACAGGGTTGCCACAAGTCAGGGAATTCAGGGATTTTTAGTAAAAGTACTGGAAAAAATTAAATTTTAAAAATTCATAAGAAAATGATCAATTTTGAATGAATTTAATTAGAAATTTTAAAGAAATAAAATTTTTTTTAAAATATTAATAATTCAAATTAGTTACATTTTTTAATACATATTTAATTAATTATTAAAAATTATGGATTTATAAAGGAATTTTAGTTAAAAATACTAAAAAAAATTGAATTTTGAAGAAGTTACAAATATAATTGCAGAAATTCAATTATTTTCAAAATTAAAAAAATTCTTCACAAAAATTGAATTATGTTTAAGAATAGTAAAAAATTCCTGTCAAAAATTAAAGAATCTTTTATAAATAACAAAATTCTTCTCCAAAATTCAATTATTTTCAAAAATTTTCCTCAATTCAATGATTTTAAGTATTTATTATTTTAATAAAATTTTCCAAAAAAATTCTATTATTTAAAAAAAAATCTTAATAAAATTCTAAGCAAACCTTTTTATTATTTACATAAATAATTAAAATTTCACAGTAATTCAATTATATTTACAATTTTTTTTATAAATTTCTTCTCAATAATTCAATTATTTTCACATCGTAGAATTTCAATTATTTTTTAATACAATTTTAATTTCATTTCTGTTAAAATTAGTTGTATTTTTTAATATTGTATGTATTCAATATTATTTCCTTAATTTTAACCCAATTCTTAGAAAGAAATCAAGTATCTTTATAAATAACAAAATTCTTCGACGAAATTCAATTGTTTTCAAGAATTTTAATAAAATTCTTTGCAAAATTCAATTATTTTCATAAATAACAATATTAATCACAAGAATAAAATTATTTTCAAGAGATAGAAAATTCTTTGTAGAAATTCAATTATTTTCAAAAATTAAAAAAAAAATTCTCGTCACAATTTCAATTATCTTTATAAATAGCAAAAATCTTCGCTGAAACACAATTATTTAAAAAAAAATTTTAATAAAATTCTACGCAACAAATTTTTTTTTATAAATAATAAAAATTTCCCAGGATTTCAATTATTTACAAATTTTTTCACAATAATTCAATTATTTTTATAAATAATAATACTGTTCTCAGTAATTTATAATAGAACTCATTACAGAATTTTAATAATTTTTTATACAATTTTAATCGAATTCCTTGAAAAATGTAATTATTCTTAAAAATTTTATTAAAATTCGTCAAACGAATTCAATTATTTAAAAATTTGTTGATAAAATTCTTTATAAGAATTGAATTTTAAGAAACATTCAATTATTATTCAATAAATTATTTATTTTTTAATTTAAACAATTGAATTCTCGTAGAATTTTCTAAGAAAAATTGACTTAAAATTGAATTTCAATTAAAATTTTAGATAATTGAATATTAAATGCATTATAGCATGAATTTTTAGAAATAATTGAAATTTGAAAGTTCAATATTTTTTTCACAAGTAATAAAATTCTTCGCCGAATTCTTTTTGCAATTCTTTTTATAAATAATAAAATTCTTCTTCAAAATTCAATTGTTTTCAAGAATTTAAATAAAATTCTTTACAAAATTCAATTATTTTCATAAATAACAATATTAATCACGAAAATAAAATTTTTTTCAAGAGTCAAAAATTTCTTTTGCAGAAATACAATTATTTTCAAAAATTAAAAAAAAAATCTCGTCATATTATTTTATAAATAGCAAAAATCTTCGCTGAAATTCAAGTATTGAAAGAAAATTGTAATAAATTTCTACGCAAACAATTTTTTTTTTAAATAGTAAAAATTTCCCTGAATTTTAATTATTTACAAATTTTTTATAAAATTTTTCGCAATAATTCAATTATTTTTATAAATAATAAAACTGTTCTCAGTAATTTAATTAATTTTCATAAATTCTTTTGAGAAATTTTACTACTTGTAAAAATAATTGAATTCTAATGAAGAATTTTAGTAGGATTTTTTAAAACAATTAAATTTTTTTTTGAAAAATTTTATGATAATTTGAATTAGTAAAAATTCGTCCACTAATTTAATTAAAAGCGAAAATCCTTTTTGTAATTTTTTTACTCAAACTAGAAAAAAAAATACAAAATGTAAAGCTTTATTGAGATAATTAATGGACGATTTTTCATTAATATTGAAAAGAGATTAGACATAAAATTTTTCATTCAAAAATATATTCCTTCAGTACCGATTATTATAGGTCTTTGAACTTTTCAAATATAGGAAGTGAACCAACTTTATTTTTAGGTGTAAAAATAAATAGGAATTTAAAAAAAAATGGCTCGCGTTGCACTAGTCTCAACTTGCACTGATCACATCTAATGCACTTGTTCCCCAAAGTGTCTAATGTTGTTAGAATTTCGATTTTAATTTCGCGATACAATAACAATAAATTATGTGGACATGTAATTTTTTCTCCATTCTTATTAAAAAGTAACAGGTCACTAATTCCTGTTTCCCCTTTATTTACACAGCCTGCCAAAATGGTGTGGATAACCAACGACGATCAGGTATAAAAAAAAATAAAAAAAAAAATTCTGTATAAACTTTATTTCTTATTCTTCCTAATGTAAAGTTTGAAGCTTTTTCTGTTTTCTTCTTTTATGTTTCGATAAATTTTTTGTTGAATGTTTTATATTTAATTCCTCCAAATGTTTCTTGTATTGTGTTCATCCGATAACAATATTTTTTTCCCACGTTTTCTTTACCTTGTAGTGTTGACAAAGGCTTTAAAAATTCTTTTTAATTTCCAAATGACTCATTCCTAATTTCTTAATAATTAGGAAAATTTTCTCCAAGTATTCACATTTCTTTTTCTTTAAAAAAACATTTTATTTTAAATTTAACTATTTGTTTATTATTATACAAGGTTTTTTATTTAAAATAATATTATTAATACCATCGTATTTTTACAAAATTGCAAATTTATTTTTTACTTACAAAAATACAAACAAGAATGATTAATATTAAATAATAAATAGAAAAAGTTTACATATTATTTATTATCTGTTTTTCTTTATCTAAACTATTAATAAGAGTAAACGTTTTATAAATATTTTTTCGCACAATTTCTCAAGTTCTTATTGTTCGAATTTATAAAATTTATAAAAATGTCAATTATTATATGGATAATATTGGCTGGAATTATAGGCTTATTGATAATGATATATTTTGCATATAAATTTTACAAACGAGTAACAATTTTCTTTCCCAAATTAAATAAGGATTTAACAAATCACATTACGTTGATATTTGACAAAGCAAAGGAACTAATTAAAAATTCAATAGAAGAATGTAATAATGTAATCGATGGAATCAAAGGAACATTTAACATTGGAACTGATACTTTCAATAAAAAAAGCAAAGAAATAGAAAATTCCTTTGTTAATGTAACAGAAGATATTAACGAAAAAGCAACGAAGGTAAAAGATGACTGTGAACAAAAATTGAAAAGCACACAAGACGATGTGGAAAAGAAAGTTAAGGAAATAACAACATTCTTTGATCAGCAAATAGAGAATATAAAGAAACTTGTCCCCGGTGCATAATATACAATTCTTTCAAATAATTCTCACAAAAAACCAATTCAATAATTCTCACAAAAATCTTGTTGAAAGTTAATTAATTAAAATTTTTTTTTTAAGTAAAAAAATCAGGGTGGCCACTTTTTTCATAGAAAAAAATTCACGGTCATTTCCCGGTCTATTCCCTGTCATAAATTATTTTTCCCGGTCATAAAAAATAACTCTAAAAATAAATTATTCCATGAAAGATTGAAAGAATTTCCTGATTTTTAGACAAAACTTTGACTTTTTCCCAAACCCTAAAAATATTTTAGTTTACTTTAAAAATAATTGAAACTCCAAAATATGTTTATAATACATTTTTTTGAATATCTTTAATACTAAAAATAATTTTGAATTTAAATAGATTTTTTGAAACAAATATTTAATTATTATCCATTATTTTTCCATATATGTAGGTATACAAATTTAAAAAAAAAAATTCAAATTTCAAATCCTTTAAATTTGAATAATTTTTAAGAATAATTGCTATTGTAACTTATTAAAAATTATTTTCAAAATTTCAATTCAATTATTTTCTAGAAATTTTAATTAAAATATTTCTAAAATCCACTTGTTTACAAGACAATTTCATGAAATTTTGAATAATTTGAAAATTTTTCAATTAAATATTACATATTTAAAAACATAACTAATTTGAAAAAATGTGAATAAAAATATTTCAAAAAACTAACTTATTCAGAATTTTTAATTAAAATCTTTTAAAATTCAACTTTTCTAAAACTTCAATTTGAAACTTTTTAAATTTCAATCTATACCTAATAATATTAATTTAACATTCTAAAATATAGAAAAATTTGCTTATCAATAATTGTAAAAAAAAACTAATTGATATTAATACAAAATACGGTTTTTTAAAAATTTATTTTCTAAGAAAAGAAAATTTTATTTATTTTTATTTACTTTATTTATTATTTAAAAATTAATTTTTATAAATTTCGTATTTGTTTTGTTATAATATTATTGCAAAAAAATTTTTAAATTGATTTATTTTTCACTATTTTAAGGGATGTGAAATTTTTTCTCTTTAAAATTTTTTTGACAAATTTAATTAAAATTATATTTTGTTTAATTATTGTTAGAAGCAGAAAGAATTTAAAATTAAATTTAATATGTTCTTTTTCTAAGTCTGTTACGTTGGACAACAAAATTCATAATTTTCTTATAAATTCTAGAAATTCAATATTTTTATAGTACTTTTGATAAAATTCCCTGACAAAATAATTAGATTTTATAGAAAAATTATTCAATCTTTTTTTAATGAAATATAATTAATAAGTCCTAAAATAAATATTTCTATTTTTTCTCACAAAATAATGTGTTTTAAAAAAAAAAATTCCAAAATCCCGGTCAAGATCAAAATTCACTGTCATTTCCCGGTTTTCCCGGTTTCCCGATCCAGCGGCCACCCTGAAAATAATTATAATAAGAAAATAAAATAAATACAGAAATAGTGATAATTTCTGCTTGTTGATAAATTTTGATATACATAAAAAGATAACTAAAAATGAATATATTTATATGGATATTATTAGGTGTCATTTGCTTGATAGCAGTGTACATAATATTAAAAATACAAGTATGGTTTGAAAAATTGATTGAGTTCGTGAAAAAATTCTTCATTGATAAAGTTTTAGTGGAACTAAATAAAATGGGCAATATATTTAAAAATTTCACTCAACCAATTGAGAATATAAAAGAAAATCTAGAAGCAATAGCAAACAACGTCAGTGATCAAGCTAAAAGTGTTGAAACAGCCATGAACAATGTAGGAAATTTAGTCTCCGATCAGAGTCAACAAATGAAAAGACAAGTTCTAGAACAATTTGACTTTGTGTCAAACAATGTTGAAGATAAAATAGAAACAGTAAAAGAGTCCGTCATGCAGCCAATTAATGATCTGTCAAACACAATTAATAAACAAGTAAAAAAAATAGAAGAAGTTGTAGGAAAGGCTACAAAAGCTGTAACTGGAGCTGTAGATGATGTTTCTAATACTGCTCAAGACGTTCGAACAGGTACTGAAAATGTGGGTAAAGATATTGAAACTACAACTAAAACCGTTGCAAACACAATAGCAAATTGGAATCCCTTTGGTTAATAACAACAAATATTTATTCTAAAATTATGAAATATATTAACTTACAAAGAATTATGCACCATTCTGCGAATTTTGAATAAAATTCAATCTTCTTGATAAAATTATTTGAAATATATAAAATATATAAACACTATACTGTATAAATTTCATCAGAGCTGAAATATTCAATTTTTTTTGTACAAACATTACAGGCCTCGGATTTTTTATAGATAATAATTGAAACTGATCATTTTTGTTATTAATATATTAAAGTAGGTAGAATATTTTCAAAAATTTTAATAAAGAAATTTTTCAAACTTTTTTTTAAATATTTCGAAATAATTTTTGAAAGACAATATTTTTACAATTACATAGGGGCCATACTTAAATTACGTAACGCTTTTTTCTTCAATTTTAGACCCCTCCCCCATATAACAAACTGTTACATATATGTATTAGCGCCATTTTTATGCTGAGTATAACAAATATCTTGACCCCCCCACCCCCTAAAGTGTTGCGTAATTTAAGTATGCCCCATACCTAAAATTTTAAAAAATGTCTAAAAAATTGAAATTTGGTAAAATCTTTGAAAAACAATTAAAATTGAATTTTTAAAAAATCAAATTTTTGAAGAATTTTAATTAAAATTATAAATGTTGTAATGTAATTTTTTAAAATTAATTAAATTTCTAAAAATAATTTTTGTATAACTTATTTAAAAAATAGTAATTAATGTTTTGAAAAATTTTGAACATGATTTTTTTCTCCAAAATAATAAAAATAATTCTAAAATATTATTATTTTTTTTACGTATTTAAAATTTTCGGAAATATGTAATCGAAAATATTGAAAATAATTGCGAATTTTTTAAAAATTAGAATGAAAACATTCTGAGAATTAGTTTATTTGAAAAATATTTTAATATTATTTCTATAATCTAATTTTCATTAATATTCATCATTTATTAAATTTACAAATTGAAGATTTTTCATTCAAATTTTTTGTATAAAAAAAAAAAAATTTTCTGTAAATTAAATTTACACTGTGGAAAAGTACAAAAAAATGAAATCTCATTGGATTATAAATTGATAATGATAAGAATCTAGAAAATTTTTATAAAAATCATGTAAAATAAATACTGTTATCATTTTGCATTTTATGAGAGAAAAATATGAAAAAAGAATTTTTCCATTTTTTTATTGCGTATAAACATTCATTTTGGTCCTAATTATTATAATTTTAACAAAATATTTGTTTTTAACCCCTTCACAGTCGAGTAAAAATAAAGTTTTTGTGCCATAAGTGTTCAAAAAAAATTTTTTTTTTTAAATCATGATATTGTCATATTACATATATGTTTTTGAGGTCACTGATTCAAAATTCGTGGTCAAAAAGTCAAAATTCAAAATGGCGGCTTCAAAATATTGACCAAAAAAATTGAAAAGTTAACGAAATCGTTAACTTAAAAATTTTTTTTGTCGCCTTTTTAAAGCTACCATTTTAAATTTTGAATTTTTGACCACAGATTTGGAATCAGCGACCTCGAAAACCCCCGAGTAGGCATTTTAAAGCATTTTTAGAGAGATTCGTTAACTTAAAAATTTTTTTGGGCGCCATTTTGAAGCTGCCATTTTGAATTTTGAATTTTTGACAACGGATTTGGATTCAGCGACCCCGAAAACCTCCGAGTAAGGATTTTTAGCCAGATTCGTTAACTTTTAAATGTCTTTTTTTCGATGGCTCTATAGAGCCCACTGACAGTGAAGGGGTTAATAAATTTGTTATTTCTTTTAACATATTTTTAAAATATTTAAAAAAATTTTTTTTTAAATGTATTTTTTTTAAATTAAGAAAAATCAAAATAAAAAAATCGTTTTGGATTAAAAACTATATATTCTTTTTCTAAAAATAATCTTTCTCGCTCTTTATTGTTGCATAAGCTACAATATGACCCTTATATTTCTTGTTGGATCGATCAGTAGCTAGCCAACTTTTATTCATATTTGTGTCAATTGCAAAAAGAAAGAATGAGATAATTATTTAGATTTTTGTAAAAATTTTCCTGTTATCTCGTAATTAAGAATCTAAGTTTTATAATTTTACACATACATTGTTTTAAATTTCTGTAAGATTTTTTGATCTTTAGTATGACGCATTTGAACTAGAGATTACTATTTCGATTTGTCATCAAAAAGAAATTTTTTTATAGGAAACATTTATATATCCCATTTACTTAAATAAATATAAGTCTAAAATCATATATGAATTTTTGTTTCTTCTTTAAGAAAAATAAAATATTTATTTAAACAAATAAATTTTACTTCAAGAAAATAAAAAATAAGAAATTTTATTTCTTTTATTTAAGGAAAAAATTTTAAAATGACTGAATTAAAAGAATGTTCTGTGTATAATTGTCATTTTCTGCGATTGTAAAGGTTACGTTGCATAATCTTTTATCAAAAATTAACATAATGAAATATTAAATAATTATATTATCAATCGATTGATGCTGACTCTGACCTAGACTCAATTGTTTATGTTGTTATTTAGATAACAAGGTCGCTTTGATAGTATAGTAACACCAGACGCGTTTCGTCGTATAAATAAAACCGAATGTAAATGACATTGTCTTCGTGAGTCGTTGACAAAGATTATAATTTTATTTTTATTAAAAAAAAATTAAACCTATTCTCTACCATTTGCATGACTCCTATTTATATCTTTTCGTATAGGGTAGAAAAAAAATATTTGGAAACATTCTATTTTTTGGTTTTATATCTAAATTCCTAAAATAAGTTTTTGTGCTAGATATTTTTTATTTTATATTATATTTTCCACTTAAAGAGGTGAATAGCGTAATTAAATATAATACTGAAGTTAATGGTGACTTTTTATAGCAGTACAACAATGCTTAAGATATTTATGTGTTTGCATGCGCAGAGTAATCAAATGCGTCAACTGCGCACTAGCCAATTTGCAAAGTCCCGCCTTCCAATGAACCCACTTTCTTTACACTTTCTTTACATCCTGATTTTTGAGATAAACTTTCCCTGATGTAGTCCTATTCTTAAAAACTAAAAAAGAAAGTCCGAAACACAGGGTTACATAAGAGATCAATTATCCAACCAGCTATTACATTAAATTAATTTTAATGAAATTAACAAAGTCACGTTTAACTTCAGCTTCATGAGATGGTATTATTAAATGCAGTAAAACGAATAAATTGATAAAAAATAATTGACATTTGTTTGTTGTTTGTTAATCGCAGATGACTGGAAAGCCAGTAGCAACGGGCTTGGTGGCGCAGAGTCACCTGGACCACATGTGCGCTCTTGATATAAGTACACAAACATCATTTGTGCGTTTGTCCGGCATTATTTGTACAATTGGTCCGGCCTCGAGGTCTGTGGAAAAATTGGAGCAAATGATCGAGACAGGCATGAATATTGCCCGAATGAATTTCTCCCATGGATCGCACGAGTATCATGCTGAAACAATTGCCAACGTGAGAGCTGCACAAAAGAATCTTTCAGCGAAAAATGGACTTAATATTCCAGTGGCCATTGCTCTCGATACGAAAGGTCCGGAAATTCGTACCGGTCTCCTCGAAGGTGTTAGTATTCTTTTTCAAAATAAATAATAAAAAGGCATTTTATTATAAATTCTTGACCATATTGATATTTTGTTATATATAAATATAAATTTTTCAGGGTGGAAGTGCAGAAGTTGAACTGGTGAAGGGACAAGACTTTAAACTTTCCACCGATAAGGCATACCTTGAGAAAGGAAGTAACAAAGTAGTTTATGTCGATTATGATAATATCTCGAAGGTGTTAAAACCAGGAAATCGCGTCTTTGTTGATGACGGACTAATTTCCTTGATTGTTAAAGAAGTCGGTATGTACAGCTTTTTGAGAAAAGTAATCTTTTAGGATACTATAATATTTACATAATCTACAATTTATTCTCTAGTATCCCACACGACATCGAAACTTTTCTAAAAGTTAAAATTAGCTTGACTGCAATCTTCGGAATCTTTACGAAGCTTATTAAATTTGAAATAATTGTTTAAATTTCTACTGTTTTTCAATGTTCGACAGTTGCATGAAAGTTTAAAATTTCTTAAATTTCTTCGGTCAACATTTACGTCAAACATTGAATAGCAGCGGACATTTACAGGCTTCGCACTCATCTACTGAAACCTACTATTTACTTTTTTTTTACTTTATGTTACTATTTGGGTACTTTTTATAGATTTCAGCCATTAAAAACTAATATTTCTGTTTTTTTTTTTGAGAATGTCCACTACTTTAAATTCGCCAATACTAGAAATCAATAACCTATTCTCAAAAACTATAATCAAATTCTTTAAAACGATGCAATTATTTTCAAAAAATATTCGAAATTCAATTATTTTCAATATCTAGTATTTTCATTAAATTTGGCAAAATAATTCAATTTAAAAAAAAATGATAAAATTCATCCAAAATTCAATTGTTTTCATAAATAATAAAATTTCCACAGAAATTCAATTAATTTAGAATAGCATTTTCAAAAAAATTTCGAAAAAATCAATTATTTAACGAAATTTTTATATAATTTTTCACAATAATTCAATTACTTTCACTAATAATAACATTTTTCATGCAAATTCAATTATTCAAAAAAATGTTTGATAAAATCCTAAGCAAGAATTCAATTATTTTCATAAATAATAAAACTCATCGAAGAATTTTAGTTATTTTTAATACTATTTTAAATTAACGAAAAATTCAATTATTTTCACAAATAGGAAAGTTTTCCAGAAGAATTCAATTATTTAAAACAATGTTTATAAAATTCTTATGAAGAATACAATTATTTTCAAAAGTTACAACAATTTTCCCAGAAATTTAATTCTTTTTTAACATTTTAATAACATTTTTCGCAAAAATTCAATTATTTTCATAAATAATAAAATTCTGTTCAAGAATTCAATTATTTTTGAAAATTTTAATAAAATTGTTAGCAAGTATTCAATTACTTTCATAAATAATAAAATTCATCGCAGGATTTCAATTATTTTTAATACAATTTTACAGGAATTGCACGAAAAATTGCTCTTAAAAATTTAATTTCAATTCCTCAAAAAATCAATTATTTAAAAGAATATTTTAATAAAATTGTTCAAAAGAAATCAATTATTTTAAATACAATTCTAATTAAATTTTTTTGAAATAATTCAACAATTTTAAATTCAATTCTAAGTAAAGTTTTTTAAAATAATTCAATTATTTCTTTAGATTTTAATAAAATTCTTCCCAAGAAATCAGTTATTGTAAATTCAATTATTTCATAAATCCTATAAAATTTTTCTCAATAATTCAATTATTTTCATAAATAACAATATTCATCAAAAGAATTCAATTATTTTTAAAAGTAATAAATTTTTTCTTGTAAATTCAATTATTTAAAGAAATTCTAATATATAATAATAATATTATATTATATAGAAGAAGAAGAATTGAATTATTTTCATAAATAATAAAATGCTTTTTAGGAATTTAATTATTTTCAAAGAAATTTAATAAAATACCATACAAACATTCAATTATTGTTAAAAATTTTAATAGAATTTTTTGTAAAATTTAATTATTTTTAAAAACTTTTTGCAATTCAATGATTTTGAATATCTACTATTTTCATAAAATTTCCAATCAGAATTCAATTATTTAAAAAAATTCTCAGGAATTTAATTATTTAAATTAGAATTTGCATAAAATTAGTCGAAAGAAATGATTTATTTATAAAATTTTTATAAAGTTCTCTACAAGAATGAAATTATTTTTATAAATATTCAAATTCTTTCATGAATAATAAAATTCGTTGCAGGAATTCAATTTATTTGCAAGATTAAAAAGAAGTAAATATTTTTGATGAAAATTAGGGAAAGGCAGGAAAATAAAATATAGAATGGAATTTTTATCAGACGAAGAAAAATATAATGGTAAAAAAGTAGTAAAAGTTACTTTATATTTTTCTCCGTGCAGTTTTGTGAAGTTTCTAGAACGTGTTTTTTTTTTGTCATAAAGTTTAATTTTTCGATAGCTACTTTTTTTAGTTTGAAAGCTACATTTTGTTACCTTTTTTAAAATTAATTATCGAGTGCAAAATCTGGATTTAAAGAAGAACTTCAAGTTTCATGAGCTTCGCTACTAAAGATTCGGAAGGTTGCAGTCAAGTTAATTTCAACTTTCGGGAATTTTTCGGTGGAGTATTAAGAATGACTTATAAAAAAAATCTTTATATTCCAGCTGGTAATGATATTATAACATCTGTCGAGAACGGTGGAACACTTGGTTCCCGAAAGGGTGTCAATCTGCCAGGCGTGCCTGTAGATTTGCCCGCGGTTTCCGAGAAGGACAAATCAGATTTAACATTCGGCGTTGAGCAAGAGGTGGACATGATTTTCGCCTCATTCATTCGTAATGCTGCTGCTCTTGGTGAGATTCGTGGAATTCTCGGCGACAAGGGAAAGAATATTAAGATCATATCGAAAATTGAAAATCAACAGGGAATGACAAATCTCGATGAGATCATTGACGCATCTGACGGCATTATGGTGGCTCGCGGTGATCTTGGAATTGAAATTCCCCCAGAGAAGGTCTTCCTCGCTCAGAAGTGTATGATCAGCAGGTGTAACAAAGTTGGAAAGCCAGTAATCTGTGCTACTCAAATGCTTGAGTCCATGGTCAAGAAGCCAAGAGCAACTAGAGCCGAGACATCTGATGTTGCCAATGCCATTCTCGATGGAGCCGACTGTGTTATGCTGTCAGGTATTTACTGTATTTTGTATTTTCAAGAAAAGATCTTTAGAATCATATCTCGAACTTTATCCAATGAATACCAAAAACCAGTTCCATAACTGGTACAGATTTGTTTCATATCCATAAGTGTTCCGTCCATAAGTTTAGGATGACAGATATGGAACAAATCTGTAACAGTTGCGGAACAGTTTTTTGGTGTTCGCTGGGTAAAGTTTCTTTCATTTATCTCGAACTTTAAAGTTCTAACTAGCACTGACTGAAAAACTATTGTCAGTACTGACAACAATTTTATTTCTGTAATGTTGATAATTAATTTTTATTATGTTGATAATTTTTAGGAGAAACAGCGAAGGGAGAATATCCATTGGAATGCGTTCGAACAATGGCAAATATCTGCAAGGAGGCTGAGGCTGCAATTTGGCACAATCAGCTTTGCAGTGATCTGACGAGCAAAGTTCTTCCTCCAATCGATGCAACGCACTCGGCAGCAATTGCGTCCGTTGAAGCAGCTCACAAATGTCTAGCAAGTGCCATTATTGTCATCACAACCTCCGGAAGATCTGCACATCTTATTTCCAAGTATCGACCACGTTGTCCGATTATTGCTGTGACTAGGTACCCACAAGTTGCAAGACAGGCACATCTTTATCGGGGAATTTTGCCTCTTCATTACGCAGGTATGACAATTTTCAATTCTTCAGCAAAATTCAAGGCTCGAACAATAAGAGTGAAAGTATTTAAAAATACGGACTTTACGGAACAAAAAAAGAAAAATTACGGACAAAAATATAACTAGACCGAGTCAAATAAGACATTTTACTTAAAACTATAAATTAAATTTTTCATAATTCTATAAAACATGAAGATATCGATTACTCCGAGTCTTCGACTCGGAGTGATCGATTTCTTCATGTTTTATAATGATTAAAGATGAACCAGTGATAAAATCATTATCAATTCAATTATTATTTTCAAGAATTTTTAACCAAAATCCTTCTTGAAATCGATTATCTATAATAATTTTAATAATTTTCGAAAAAGTTCTTTGACAATATTTTCAAATCCATTTGTTTACAATATTCAATTTTACGAAATTTCAATTATTCGTAAATTCTTCAAAATATTAGAAAATAAAAACTTCAAATAATATAAAAAAATTCAATTAAACATTTTCAAAATTATTAATTTCAAAATTCAATTATTACTACAAATTCACGATATACTGCTTTTAATATTCAATTATTATAAAAAAATTTAAATTAAATTCATTTTTATAAAATGAAAATCAATTTTTATTAGAAAATTCTACTAGAATTCAATTATTTAAATACAAATAAAATGCAAATAAATAATTTATTGAATAATTGAATGTTAAAGAATTTTATCAACAAATTTTTAAATAATTGAATTCTTTCGACGAATTTTAATAAAATTTTTAAGATTAATTTCATTTTTCGAGAAATTGATAGAAAACTTAAAAATAATTAAAATTCTGCTAAGAATTTTATTAAAATTTTTCAAAATAATTGAATTTCGGAGAAAAATTTTATTATTTATAAAGATAATTGAAATTTTGACAAGAATTTTTATAAATTTTTCAAAATAATTGAATTTCTGCGAAGAATTATATTACATACTTTTAAAAATAATTGAATTCTTGAGACGAATTTTATTAAAATTTCTTTTTAAATAATTGAATACTTTTGTGAAATTTTATTAAAATAGTAGACATTGAAAATAATTGAATTTTGACAAAACTTATTAAAATTATTATTATTTTGAAAGAAATTGAATTATTACAAAGAAATTTATTAAAATTTTTGAAAATAATTTAATTCTTTGAAAAAATTCAATTCTTTTCACAAATTCACGATATACTGCTTTTAATATTCAATTGGTATCTAAAATTTTAACTGAAATTCATTTTTATTAGAAAATTCTACTACAATTTAATTATTTAAAACCAGGAAAAAATAATTTATTGAACAAATTAAATGTTTCTTAAACTTCTTCTTAAAATTTAAACATTTTAATAAAATTTTTCGCAGTAATTTAATTATTTTTGTTAATAATAAAATTCTTCTCAGAAATTCAATTATTTTTGAAAATTATAATAAAATTCTTAGCAACTATTCAATTATTTTCATAAACAATAAAATGCATCGCAGGATTTCAATTATTTTCAATACATTTTTAAGGAATTGCTCAAAAAAATGTAATTATTCTTAAAAATTTAATTTCAAAATTCAATTATTTCTAAAAATTCACGATCTAATGCTTTTGATATTCAATTACAAAATAAAATTTTAACTAAAATCCATTTGTATATCAATTTTTATTAGAAAATTCTACTAGTATTTATTTATTTAAATACAAAAAAAACAATTTATTAAATAAGTCCATATTTATTAAAATTGAATTCTCATAAAGAATTAAAAAATTTTTTTAAATAATAATTGAATTCTTTTGACGAATTTTAATATAATTTTTAAGAATAATTACATTTTTCGAGGAATTTGATTAAAATTGTAAATTAAAATAATGAAAATTCTTCGATATAAAATAATTAAATCCGTGTAAAAATTTTATTATTTATGAAAATATTTGTATGATTGCGAAGAAATTTATAAAAAAATTTTGTAAATAATTCAATTCCTGGGAAATTTTTAATATTTTATGAATATAATTAAAAGTTTGCGTAGAATTTTATTAAATTTGTTTTTTTTTAACAATAGAATTGTTTTGAACAAATTTATTAAAATAGTAAATTTTGAAAATCATTGAGTAAGGGAGAATTTTGAAAAATAATTGAAATTTTGCCAAGAATCTTTGAAAATAATTGAATTTCAGAGAAGAATTCAATTATTTCTAAAGATAATTGAAATTTTGACGAGAATTTTATTAAAATTTTTGAAAATAATTGAATTTTAGAGAAGAATTCAATTATTTCTAAGAATAATTGAAATTTTGACGAGAATTTAAAAAATTTTTTGAACATAATTGAATTTCTGCGAAGAATTTTATTAACTTTTGAAAATAATTGAATTTCTGCAATTATTTCTAACTTTTTCAAAATTTCTAAAATTATGTCGTACAATTTAGGAACTTTTCGTCTTTTCTCAATCAAATTATGGACTTTACGGATCTTTTTTAAGAAAAAAACGGACTTTTATGGATTTTGAGAGCAAATTTACAAATCTAGTTCGAGCCCTGAAAATTTTTAAAATTCACCACAAAATTAATGCATAAATTAAAAATTGAATTAATTTCTTGCAGATACTCCTCTGTCTGACTGGCTAAAAGACGTTGATGCTCGCGTACAATTTGGTCTTGAGTTCGGAAAGAGTCGAGGCTTTGTACAAACTGGAAATTCCGTTGTAGTCGTCACTGGATGGAAACAGGGCTCCGGTTTCACGAATACTCTCCGCATTGTGTACGTAGATCCAATTTTAAACGAAGACTGTGGAATTTATACTTTCCCCACTGATACGGATTCAACTGACAGTCTTTTTTGAACCATCTATTTTTTCTAATTTTTTTCATTGTCCAATAAAAATTAACTAAAAGAATTTAAAAATTTGAGTGCTATTAAAGAATAATATGGGTCAATAATTAACAATTGGGTCTTTTTTCGAAAAAATTCGAGGAGAGGAAGAGTTTTTATCCTAACGAGTGGAAATTGTCCGATCGAGAATTCTAGAAACTAATTTCGAAAAAGTCAAGTAAAGTTATATAAATGTTGAACTTCTGGATTCTCATTATGCATCTATTTTTATTCTTTTCTTACTATTTTTCTTTTCAGGTCTGTTGACTGAATTTGCACCATCGATCCGGGTGTAGAAGACGAAAAGGTTGCGGGTAGTTGAGAAGAAACAAAATCAGCAGCCGTATTAAATGTTTTTAAAGAGTGTATGTGCATATAATTGTAACGTAATAGCTATAATCTTATTCAATTATTCAATTCGTTGATCGCTACTTTTGCTGTTTCGTCTATCTTAGATGCAGTATTATAAATTATTAGATTTCAAATTGTAACAACTGCACACAAAGAAACTGAGAATTAAAAAATTGTTACCATTATCTTCATCAGATTTAATGTTACTCGACAAAAATTGATAATAAATTAATTCAAAATTTGCAAAACTCTAAAAAAATATTACTACTTATTTATTTAAAATAGCAATATCATTAAGAAGATGACTTTAGGACCCAGAAGTCGAGGGATGAACCTCGAAGTTGTAGTTACTGACCAAGAAGAAGCGGAAAGACTGGAGAAAAATAAAGAAAAGTTTTAATGCCTAAGTAAAAACAAACAGAGTAAAAACTCCAAAACAGATTTTTCCCCTTTCCTCGTAAAATAAAGAAAAATATTATCTAATGCATCATGGAAAATGACAAGAGACTGCTTTTTATGAGAGCTTCTGAGGTGCACCTCAAAACCAACAGAGAGAAGATTATCAATTTTACATAAATTTTTTTACATATTTTCATGTTAAAACATTTTTATCACCAAAGTAATTATTCAGACCTTGTAAATAGAAAACTTTACATAAAAGAATATTAAAATTTAATTACATAAAATTTTAGTTATTAGACAACCAAAAATTTATAGTACAAGTAAAATCTAAAAAAAAAAACAAAAAATAAATAAAATACAAAAAGTAAAATACAAAGAAAAAATAAAATAAAAAAAGTAAAATACAAAATTATATTAATACAAAAGACGCAAAACCTGAAAATTTTATGATATTTCTTCAAGAATTAAATTATTTAAAAAGAAATTTATCAATAAAAAAATACGAGAAGCCAAAAATAAAATTCAAAAGTTCAAAGGTCATGTCTTCCCATTGGGAGCTTCAATTGATCAGCGAGGAGTAGAAATTCGAACCAGACTTACTATACACGGATATGAGAACAAATCAATGGTACCTACGTTTTCAGTACATTTTTTCTCATTTGTATTTCCTTTAATTCCGACCACGGAAATTGATTTTTTAATTTTTTATTACTATTATTTTGTTTGGAAAAAAATCTAAAACTTACATTAAATTAAATTTACCTGTTTCATTACTGATTTGTGCACCTTTATACTCACTCATTACTATCTTCACACTACACAATAGAGTTCTTTTATAAAGCTTATTAACATTATTATTATTTTACAAATAAAAAATCACGAATGTTTTCCGAATTTTTAAATTTTCTTATTAAAAATAAAATTTGAGTAATTTTACTATTTTCATTGAACAAATTAAAAAACCTTCATGAAATTCAACAACTTATAAGAATATTATTACAAAACATACAAAAACGTTCTCTCCGAGTCTTCGACTCGGAGTGATTGATTATTTCAACTTTTCATTTTTCATGAATTTTCAAATTCATTTGTTTACCATTCAATTTTACAGAAATTTCGAATATTCAAAAATTCTTCAATTATAAATATATTTTAGAAAATAATTGAATTTTTTCGACGAATTTTAATAAAATTTTTAAGAATAATTTCGAGAAATTCGATTCAAATTGTAATAAAAATAATTGAATTATTGCGAAAAATTTTATTAGAATTTTAAAAAAAATTGAATTTCCAAAAAGAAATTTATTTCTTTTAAAAATAATTGAATTCTTGCGATAAATATTGTTATTCATGAAAATAATTGAATTTTACAAAAAATTTTATTAAAATGCCTCAAAATAATTGAATTTTCGGGAATAATTTTGTTATTTATCTTTAATAATTATTGAATTCTTTCGAAGAATTATTTATGTAAATAATTGAATTCTCGGGAAGAATTTTATTAAAATCTAAAAGAATAATTGAATTATTTCAAAAAAATTTTTAATTAAAATTGTATTTAAAATAATTGATTTCTTTCGAACAATTTTATTAAAATATTTGAAAATAATTGAATTTCTGTAAAAAAATTATAATATTTTTGTAAATTATTGAATTCTTTCAAAAAATTTTTAAAAAAAACATTTTTTTAAACAACTGATTTCTTTAGGGAATTGAAATTAAATTTTTAAGAATAATTACATTTTTTGAGCATTTCCTGTAAAATAGTATTAAAAATAAATGAAATCCTATTTACAATTTAATTTTACGTAAAATTTCGATTATTCGGAAATTCTTCAATAAAATATATATTAGAAAATAAAAACTTGAAATAATTTTAAAAAAATTCAATTAAACTTTTTCAAAAAATTAATTCCACAGAATTGTTAATTAAAAATATGAAAAATTTTGATTTTTAAAGATTTTAATTTGAAACCTTTTCAAAATTCAATTATTTCTAAAAATTCACGCTTTAATTGCTTTTAATATTCAATTATTATCTAAACTTTTAAATTTAAATCAATTTTTATTAGAAATACGGGAATTCAATTATTTAAATACACAAGTGAATAATTTATTGAATAATTAAAAGTTTCTCAAAATTGAATTCTCATAAAGAATTTTACCAAAATAAATTTTCTAAATAATTAAATTCCTTCGGAGAATTTTAATAAAATTTTTAAGAATAATTACATTTTTCGAGGAATTCAACTAAAATTGTATTCAAAATAATTGAAATTCTGCGATGAGTTTTATTTATGACAATAATTCAGTTGCTAAGAAGAATTATGTTATTTATGAAAATAATTGAATTCTTTTGGAAAAATTTGTTAAAATAGTAGATATTAAAAATTTTTGAAAATAATTGAGTTTTGGAGAAGAATGTAATTAAAATTTTTTTAAATAATTGAATTTCGGAAAAGAATTTTATTATTTATGAAAATTATTGAATTTCGGAAAAGATTTTTATTATTTATGAAAATAATTGACATTTTGGGGAGCGAATGTTTTAGAAATTTTTGAACATAATTGAATATCTGCGAAAAATGTCTAATTAAATTCATTTAAAATTGAAATTTTATAAAATTTCAAATTGAAACCTTTTGAAGTTGATTTATTTATGAAAATTGTAAACGCAACTCTTTTAAAATTGAATTAATTTTGAAATATTTAAGTAAAATTATTCATTAAAATTTATTTATTTGATGATAGTTGTTCAAGAATTAAGTTATTTAAAAAGAAATTATTGTCAGAAATAGAAAAAATTGAAGGTTTTTTATTAGTATTCGTGGTAATTTCATATTTTATGAGGTAAACAAAAATGACACAAAAATTCAGAATTTTCTTATGAATTGTAAAAATTTAATTTCTTACAGTACTTTTAAAAAAATTCCTCGACTTTTCCCTGATTCCCCTAATCAATTCTACTTTTCCTAACTTTTCCCTGAATTCCCTAATCTGAGGCAACACTGCTTTAATTTATATTTGAAAAACATTTTATTTTATTATATTTCTTCCGCACTAAACGAAAAAAATGGGAAAAATATATGACGCAAAAGTCCACAATTAAAAGAAATGACCGATTATTGATTGAATTTACGTACACGAGTGTGTAATCAAATCCAAACACTCTAACTGTTAATCTTATCTATTAAAAAAAGCTTGTTAGCTTTAATACATATATGCGTAAGCGAACTACTGGGTATGTCCAATCGATAAATTGCTTTCAATTCAATAGTCACTTTCTGACCATTTCTATGATTTCCCTTTTTTCAAATTTAATATTACTGACAAGTTAAATATTCAATTTTTAAAATTATACTCGCTTGAAAACTTCTTTAAATCGCCAGAGGCTGCTTAAACTTTTTTTCTCGTCGATTAAATATATTTTGACAAAATTATAATAAAAAAAGGTTTCATAATTACTAAAGCTAAAAAAACGAAAATAATAACAATAAAGCGAAAATTGTGGTAAATAATTTAGAGTTTTTTTTTTGTATTTTAATTGCAAAATAAGGTTTGAAACTGACTTTGAAATAAATAAATTGATAGAGTTTCACGTACGTCAGCGATCATTGAAAATTGAGTATGAGTTAGGTAGTAAATGCATTTCTCGAGGTTGCTGACACCATTCTCCTCCCACGGGATATCATAAACGTAAAAGAAACATTGAATTTGATTCAGAATATTTTATATATCGTATATATGCAGAGATGTCGAGAATGCGAGACGCAGGAAACGACCTATAGCTTTTTGAAACAAAGATCGTGTTTGAGCAATTTCAATGAATTTCTCACGTCTACATTGTTTTCTGCTTTCTTATATAACATTTTTTAATGTCGAATGTATTCCTTCTGTGCGGATATTCCTTTGTGGGTGATGTAGAGTTGTCTTTAATGTTTTAAGAACCCTAGAGACTAGAAAAGTATTTCCTTCCTTCAGCTTTCGAATGTTTGACTGTGATGCTCGAATATACCTACGCTTGCAATAGTCTCCACGAAATCCATCTAATTACAGACTTTGCACTCGATAATTAATTTTAAAAAAGTAGTAAAAAATTAGCCAACGAAAAATTCAAACCACCAAAAAAATTCGATTTAGAAACTTCACAAAACTGACAAAAATTACATTCTATATTTTATTTTTCAGACTTTTTCCTAATTTTCGTAAAAAATATTTACTTTTTTCTTATCCTGATGCTAATAAATTGAATTCCTGCAACGAATTTTATTATTCATGCGAAACAATTTAAATATTTACAAAAATAATTTAATTCTTGCGAAGAATTTTAGAAAAGTTCGACTAATTTTATGCATAATTCTAATTTAAATAATTCAATTCCCGAGAAATTTTTATTATTCATAAAAAGAATTGAAATGAATTGAATTTTTACAAAATTTTTTTTAAATAATTGAATTCAGTTTGGAAGTTTTATAAAAATAGTAGATATTGAAAATCATTGAATTGCGAAAAGTTTTTTAAAATAATTAAATTTTACAAAAAATTCTATTAAAATTTTTGACAATAATTGAATGTATGTGTGACATTTTATTAAATTTTTTTGAAAATAATTGAATTCCTAACAAGCATTTTATTATTTATGAAAATAATTCAATTCTTGCGAACGATTTTATTACAAATTTTAAAATAATTGAATTGCCAAGAAGAAATTTATTACTTTTTAAAAATAATTTAATTTTTGTGATGAATATTGTTATTTATGAAAATAATTGAATTTTGCAAA